GCTGTAAACTTAGTGCCCTCTTGGTGTAAGTTTGTGTAGACCTATTCAAATATTTTGCTGGTGGATGTGACCCTACATACTGGAGGTGTGATGAAGGAGGAGATGATCTTTCAGGTCCTAGATCATGCTGGGTTGAACTGAACTTTTGAGATCTGGCAGTTAATGTCAAAAGCTGCCAGACTTCTTGCCTTAACTGTTAGGAAATGGTTCGACACAGCAGCATTTTTTACCTTCAGGATTTTCACTGAATATGAGATTATAGAGAGATGGGGGGACAGAAAAGAAAGAAATGCACCATTGTTGATAAGCTGCTAATAGCTGTTTCTGTGGTAATATAAAGATTTACACAACTGCTCTGAGTGGCCTCTTCAGTGCCTTGGAGATGACTTTTACCCATATTTCTGTGATCAGAACATGCTACTGCATGTATTTAATATGTGTATTTCTTTTTATTCTGTACTTTTTGATTCCAGCCCTGACCATGAATCACTGGAACTGGATTTTCTGAGTAATGTCTCTCCAGTCTCTCTATTCTCACAGAATATTGGGCAAAAGAAATCAGGTCTTGTATAGGCAGTTTGAGCATTTGAAGTCAGCTGTTTAAAAGGCCGTACCAAAGTTTAGCCCATTAAAATGCAATATTTTTAAAATTCTGTCATGTAGAAGGATTAACATTCCAAAAGTGACTGTATTTTTCTGTCTTTGTGGATAAATTTAGACAGCTAATTTTTTTCAGTAGTTGGCTAGGAGAAAACACTCCCTTCCTCCTTTGGTTTCTGCTCAAAACGAGGTGCTTTTTTTCCCTCCTATTTTTTTCTTTTGAAACATTATTTTATCCGAAGGATGCTCTAAAAAAGCCAAAAGAGTACACAAAAAAAAAAACCAACAAACCACCAAACCAAAGAAGGATCAAATATCTTTTTACAAGGAGAGAAAGAATCTTTAAAAAATATTTATCCCACACTTGGCAACCTTTTGCTTGCCCGCATGTGACTGGCACGGTGCCATCCTTGGCCGAGGCCGGCGCCTCTGCTTGCCAGGAGTCTTCCTCCTCTGGCTGCCTTTTCACTCGCTGTGACTGATTGTTTATTCACCTGATTTTTCTGCTCCAGCATGGCTGAAGTCATGGCGTCTTGGAGATGATAAGAACACTTTGTCTGCCCAAGCTGTCCCATAGCCATGATGTCAGCGCGCGGCGTTCGCGGCGAGCCCTGGCGTGGTGCACGCTCCACATAGCAGGGAGGGTTTAGATGTCAGACAAAACTTACTGCCACCTCCTCAGCCTGTCCAAAAGGCAACTGTCGTAAATACACATGATTTGTTGCTTGCTTTTTAATTTTTTTTCTTTTTTCCCCCCAGAGCTGTGTTTGAGGATTTCCAAACCTTGCTTTGTGTTTGTAGTTCTGGTTTAGCATCTTGGGGGTTTTAATTGAGGATAATGAGTCTCTGAGTCAGATTCTCTTGGGGCTCCTCCTGTTTCTAAGATGTTTCTTGCATTTAGTTTTAAGGTGTCTCCTTGCTATATGTCAAGTCTGAATCTGATTTGCTCAGTAAACGGGCATCTTGGAATGAAATTTTGCCTTTTTTTTTCTTTTTTATCAGTCATCATAGTATCTTAATAGTGTTTGGGAAATCTCTTGAATTTTTTGTTGACAGGAAAACTCATTTGAAGAAATCGGAGAGAAGGTGAAGTACGGATGGACAGTGAAAGCTCTGTTGTTGGTTTTGCTCCTGGAAATTTTATTTGTGGCTACTGATACTCTTATCCTGTCTTTCTCTGAAGATCTGACAGTATTTTCACTCGCTGAATGTAAATGGATGCTGGTCTAGTCAGGCCTCCATCATCTCTTCATTAAAGTGCTTAAGGGTCTGCCCTTCTCTGCATCTTGCTTTGACTTCCTTCTCCCATGGCTGCCCTCCAAGGTCTCTGAAATTTTCCATTATTTTGGTATCTCCATGTGATGACAATTAAGCATTTTTTGCCCTTGGGCTTGTCAGCAAGGATTTGTTCAGGGGGTTGTTTTTCTCTGTGTATCGTCATCAGCCTTCATATTCCAAGGCACTGTTGTACCTGGCTGATAAATTCTGTCCCCAGATGTCAGCCCACTGTTTGCTCCTGTTTGTGTCTCTGGTGTTCTTGCAGAATAAAGTCAACAAGTTACTGAGTGTATTGCAGGGCGCTTTTTTTGGCCAAAGTATTTTGGAACCTGCGTTTTACATGTTTTGGTACAAATCTAGGAGCCCAAGTAACACAGTTTGGGAGGGTGGGGGGAGGATAGATGGGTCTGGACTGTGAGGTCAGCCAGTGTTGTTTAGTAAGGTTTTTAGAACAGGGATATCTGAGGGAGCTGGCGTGTAAGGCAGATAAGGCTTTTTTGTTGTTGATAATACGTCCTACACACACACACACACAGAAGTTCTTGTTCTGCCTCTTCAAAGAAACAGGATACCCGTATTGTCTCCAGGCTGAAAACTCTGCCAACGTTAGCAAGAACAAGCAGAAAATAGGACTGAGGAAAAAGCGAGGTTGCTGATCTTTTAAAAAATTATCTTTATAAAGTTTTCAAGAGTTCATGTTAAAATGGTTGTGATTAAAATATTGCTATAGTTTTGAAAACCTCTTTCACTGATGGCCTTTTTCATGTGAACTTGTGTATCCTTCTGTGCTCCAATTTATATTTCTGTAGACCAGAGTCAGCAGATTTACCAGGAGATACAGGGAATCCTATTTTTATAGCAGACTGCTCATGAATGGCAGAGGCATTAAGGGAATACAGGAGTCTTTCCCAGGAATGAAATAAACTTAATCTATGTTTATCCCAATACTTAGTACAGCAGTGTTTGTTTTCCAGCAAATTGTTCAGATGAAAACAAAAAAATCATGTATTTAATCAATACATCCAGAAATGAACTTTGTGGAGGCATGGGGTGGGGTGTGTGTGTTTTTTTAAGTAGGGCTTTGAACTGGAAATGTAGCTACCACATGAAATCTGAGTTCTGGCACCCACTCAGCACAGCAGTCCATCTGCTAGCAAGACACACTGATTTTTTTTTTTCTTTAAGCCCTTAGTGGTGCCAGATGCAAGTCCTGTGTACCTTAAGGGGAAAGGCAGTTTGTGATGCCTTACTAAGGTGGCGTCTGGGCAGACTTCTTTTGCATTGGTGCAGATTACAGTCAAAAAGAGAATACACACCTGCACGCATGTTTTATTTTGATATATATGGTTTGTTTCCTTTGCAAGAAAAAAAATCATCCAGCATCTTCAGACAATGAATTATTTAGCAGTGATTGCCTCTGTATTCCTGCTCTCTGTAGTTTTACAGGCTCTGCAAAATCCTTGATTTGGTTTTCATGTGATAGTTGTGGTACTTGTGGTACCTGAGCAGGCACCAGCAGTGCTCATGGTCCCACCTCCTTGTTCTCATAATCTCCCCCCTCCATCTATTTCAAAATAAGGTGATTAAAATTAATCAGAGTTAATATAGAATAATTTTGACAAGAAATGCAAAATTCTTGAATGGCATTTTGGCAAGTCCGTTTCAAGGTGGGCACTGCTTAAAGCTGTTAGAAAATGTCTGTCTCTTTATAACCAAAAGCTGGTGTAGGATGTCAACATCCTGGATGCAGAGCTATGAGCAATGGGGGTTGTTGTGGTTTTTGGTTTGTTTTTGTGGGGAAATGATTATTGTTGTTGTTGTTATTACTGTTATTGTTATTGCTTAATAGCAGTCTTGAGCATTTTTTCCTATGTCAGAATGGTAGAGTTCTGCTGAATAAGATTGTAAAAGCTATGAAAAGAGGGGGGCACTAGAACTTTAAGGTGTTTAATCCTGCGTTGAAACGACACCATAACTGCAAAATGAGAGATAAATCACAATGAAGAACTTGCGTGGAGTTTCATCAGCCGCTTCCGTTAATTTCTCTCCTGATTCTCTGCTTTCTGCTGAAATCTTTCAGTTTAAACGTCTGTGATGCTCAGCTTGGATCTCTCTGTAGTGGCACCACTGAAATCCAGTGTGCTGCTGTTGTTACTGATACAGTGTTTTAGCTAAGTTAGAAAGTGGCAAACAGCTACTTAATGCAAACCAGATTTGCAGTCTGTGTGTTTCCAGAGCCTCTGGCACAGGGCTCGTGTGGCTAAAAGGCCATAGAGTGCTGTAATCAAAATGCTGTTGTTACATAAATATAATGCTGCCACTTCTTTTGATCTAGCAGTGGTGAGCTCTGCTGCTGAGGATTCTGCTCTTTGTTCGTGTCTTCCAAGCTGAAATGCTTTCACATAAAACGAACGTCTCCATAAATTTGCACCCTGTTTTTTTTTTTTCTTTTCTCCCTTTCATATTTTGTTCTCTGAACCCAGAATTTGAGGATAAGGCAGAATTCTGTTATGCTCTTCAGGGGAAAATAGTAGCTCCGTAATTTCTCGGTATTTGATGTGGATGATGATTTGATACTTTATTAAACCGCATTTTGCTCACATAAGCAACATTGGGATGCTACACTGGGGTCAGCCCAACCATGTGTGCTGCAGTAGAGCAGTGCTTCCTTCTACAAGTGTAATTAAGTTGTTTTGAAGGAAGCTTGTTTTCTTGCCAATAAAAGACCAATTTGAAGTACAAATAGGAAAGGCAAGAAATGCTTAGAAAGACAATAAGTCAGCATGCCAAAAAAAAAAAAATAGTCCATAATACTGGGGCTATGGAATAAGTTCCAGTACTGCCTGTTTCCATTATCCTTATGTTGATCTTGCTTTCAGCAGTTTTCTTTATTACTTACTTGGTTCATGTCATAAATTTGATCTGAGAAAAAGATACTTTCAGGCAACTAAAGCTGAGAAAACCAGAAATTTTTACAGTAGCGGGTTGTTTTTTTTTTTTCCCAGAGATGCTCTAGAGCGCAGGGAACAAATCACCGTAGAGTTGCAGAGATCAGAGTTTGTCCTTCGGTGCCGCTCACCATGGCAGGTGTTGCTCACGCTGCCTTGCTTTGTGTCCTGCAGTGTGCCCCAGCTCGTGTGGGAAGCGAGCCTGCACTGACCAAAACGAGTGCTGCCACCCCGAGTGCCTGGGGAGCTGCACGGCGCCCGACAACAACACGGCGTGCGTGGCCTGCCGCAACTACTACTACGAGGGCGTGTGCCTGCCCACCTGTCCCCCCAACACCTACAAGTTCGAGGGCTGGCGCTGTGTCACCAGAGAGTTCTGCTCCAAAGTCCCCGCCACGGACGCCAGCGAGTACGAGAAGTTCGTGATCCACAACGACGAGTGCATGGCCGAGTGTCCCTCGGGCTTCATCCGCAACGGGAGCCAAAGGTAACGCAGCCCCTGCCTGGCTGTGCTCTGTGGGCTGGACACTCCCTGGGCAGGGACAGCTTGGGGTGCCGATTATTTGGGCTGGAGGGGAGGACATAGAGGGGGAATCGCAGTGGAGGATTGTGTGGTTTCCTGGTAGAAGCTGACTTAGACCTTTCTGTGATGAACCCACCTGATGGGTGTGTGTGGTCCTGTGCAGTGTCAGTGGGCTCTGGTTCTTCAGAAGGGCTGGAGGAGGTCATGCAGTGCAGAACCAGGTCTTCAGGTAGAGAGTAACAAAACAAAAGTGATGCCCAAGGTTGGAGTTGGCTGATGACCATGATCACACAGAACAAACCACAGGAGTTACCTTGCCTTGCATATTATTTGCTTTATGCGTGCCTGAATTTTAGACACATGCATTCTTCGATGTATTTAATTTAATTTCCCTTTTTTCACTATTTCCAGGAGATAACAATGGTGTTTCAGAAGGAAGTATTCATATAGATGGTGACAAAAATAATGCAGCAGCCAACAGTATTGCACAGAATAATTTCTTGTAAGAGTGTCACTCTCCTTCTGTTACTTAATTCTGGCAGTTGGAGCAATGTTTGCTGGTGATTTTTGTAACTTCCAGTGGCTTAAGCAAGCAGCCTTCATTGCCTGCTGTCCCTGGGAAGTCACAGACTTTCAGTAAAAGATATTGCTAAAATTTGTAATGCTTCAGTGATTTGCTAAAAAGATGTCTTTGTAGGCTGCTGTGTTTTCTGGAAAGGTGATTGTGGTAATGCAGCAGTTGTGTGTCTCTACATGTGTCTCATCCATCCGTTCCAGGCAGTCTCTAGTTGGCATTTGGATACAAGCAACTTAACACAGCCTTTGCCCAAATCCAGATATTCACCTGAGAAATGCAGCTTTTGTTATCTCCTGGAGCTTGTAGCAGCAGCTGTTTGAGCCGCTTACGCTGGAGTGCGAGGCCATCCTGTCTTATCTCGGTGTTGTGCTCTCTGCAGAGATTGAAAGGAGCTGTAACTCAAGGCTAGTGAATGTTCTGTTCCCCAGAGGTGCTGTTAACAAATAGTTGCAAATGGAAAGCATTTTCAGAATTCTTTGTACATTTAGTTGAAGCCTCTTTCTTGTGTCTGCAGCTTTTAGTGGTTTGTGGCAGGTTATAGAGCAGGATTTTTAAATGGGAGCTTGCTGCTTAGGAAAGGAGCTTCTTTCTCTTATGGTTTATGCATGGAAAACTGTTATCAATTTACATATTTCTTTAAGCCTCAGAGGAAAGTGAGTTCACTTTCTTTTTAAAAAAATAAATAGTAAGCCCCTGTCCATCAATGCTGTCAGCAGAAGCCTTTGTCTTTGGAGCTGGGTTTGGGGTTTTTTCATTTTTATTTTTCCTCTCTAAAGTGATATTAAGTGGAAATACCACTTAAAATTAAATACCAAGTAAAATGCTAGAATAAATTAGAAAATAAAAATTACCTTGAATCAGGAAAGGCATTTACCAGGAGGAGTGATCAGGGGGTGTTGTGCACACATGAAGTGTCCAGCTTTGAGATGAATATGTAGGGAATATAACATGGAACCTCTAAAGAGATCCTTCAGCCAAAGGCTGGTCTGCCCTCAGTTCTTCCTTGAGTTTGGCTGCTAAAAATGCTTCTGAATGTCTGTGAGTATAAGAAGCAGAAATGAGCCCATGTTTCAGTGTTGCCTCCCAGCTTCTGGCAGTCTGGTTTCTCTGACTTTGGGGCTGTGTCTTTCTTGATGTTTCCATCTGTATCACCCATTTTGAACTTGCTTAGACTTCTGGCCTTCCTCTTCCAATTCCTGTTGCCAATTAGTTGTCCTTGCATCAACACACAATCTTCTGTTTCCTTAAACTTGCTGCTTTAATGCCTCTTAAGCTGTAAGAAGTAGTGACTAATTGACTGTTCACTTTCTCCACATCCCTCCTGACTGTGTGCCCCCACAGTTGTCTTTCTGAGTTAAATGGCCAGGAACATGGAATTCCCTAGTGCTGAGCTTTAAATATTGGTTTATGGACATGGACACAGACAACTTCATAAGAATATGAACAGTATTTTCCCATCTCCAGTTCTTGGCTGGTCTATTTTGTGAGGTTGGGCCTGGATTAGCACGAAACCTCCCTGCACTCTGAGGCTGCCTTCATAAATGGGAGGGGAGGGGCTCCTGGGAACAATTCAGCTGGATTAAATGCATGGTTGTAAGGGCACTGGGTTTTACCTCAAGTGCCTTTTACTTTGGAAAGACCACAGAGCCTTCCAGAAGCTGTCAGACCATGGGTATGGGTCCATTCAGTCACTGTAAGAGGTTCAGTGCTCCAGCTTCTCTGGAGTGCAGCAGGTAAGTGTATCCTGAACAAGCATGGCAGCTTTCCTTCTGGCATGGAGGATTTGCCTAAGCTTTAGAGGAAAATATCATCCAAAATTCAACTCAAAGCAGTCTGTAGACTCACAGTCACATATCACTGTTTATTTTCAATGTCCCCCTCTTTCCTCACAGCATGTTCTGCAGCCCTTGTGAGGGGCCTTGCCCCAAAATCTGTGAGGATGGGAAAACAAAGACCATTGACTCGGTCACATCAGCACAAATGTTGCAGGGATGCACAATTCTCAAGGGAAATCTGCTGATCAACATCCGGCGTGGAAGTAAGTGATTGTCCTCTCCTTCTGAACCCCTGATAAGGCTGCTTTTCACATTTTTCCTTCTGTCGTCAGCCTAATGATAAGAACATTAAAAACTCAGCAAGCTGTTTGCTTTCCAGGCCCAGAGCAGTGCTCCTGTTTAATTTGGCCCACTGCAGCACCTTCTTGCCCCAGGCGGGTGGAATAGGTATTCAGCTCCCAGGGAAAGCTGGTATTTTTGTTAGGTTTTTTGGCAGGACAAGGAACCAGGATTAGGCAGTTAGACAAGCAGTGGTCCCAAGGGAGTAATAAAGGCCCAAGAAGGTGGAAAAGTTGAAAATCCTTGCATCTGGGTAGGTAAATAACTTGTCACGTGGCACTGTAAGACTGCAGATCCTCACTTTTTAAGGCAAGGTGTGGTGTTTTGCTAGAACATGGAATCCCCAGTGCTGAGAGCTCTTATAAAGCCTAACACTGTGCTGCTGGATGGTCAGCATTTGTGAGCTGGCCATCTCTGTCACATGTCTTGAACAAGCACAGGATTAAATTTGTCAGAGCGGTGATTCATCAGCCAGGGAGGTGTTGACAGTTGATGAGCTCTTAAAAGCCGAGTAAAAATTGCTGTTAGTTTTTATTGGACTTGTATGTCCCTATGGAAGGTCTCTTTTGGTTTAATGAATAAGGTAGAAAGATTGGGATCTGTTTGATTCCCTGCCTCATGCTGAATGAAAGTTCCAGGGTTTAGTTACAGCAGCATGTGGATTTTTTAATCTGTGGTCCCATTGCTACAGGTACAATCTTTCCTTATGGGAAATGTTCTAGGTACCTGGGGCAAGCATGTGGGAGTTCTTAAATTTTATTTAAGCATTATTTTAGAGTGCCAAAGAGCATCTGATTATTTGGTATGGGAACCAACCATTGGCATTAGGTAATTGGTCTTCCCAGCCATATGTTAGGACTTGGGTGTGTTTATGGCAGTCAACACACCCCAAAGTGGCTTCTCCCAAGTCCTTAAAATCTTCTCCTTGGAACTGCAGCACAACTTGGCAAGGTGGTGACACCAGGCAATGGGCTTGGGCCAGGAGTTGCTGGAGGTAAGGACAGCAAAGCTGGAGCTTGTGAAGGGTGGGCTGTTGCAGCCCTGGGCAGGGACAGTTCATGGAGAGGAGGCAATGGAGATTCCTCTGCAGTCATTTTAATAATTTCTAATAGAAAGTTCAGCTTCCATGAGTTGTCTGGAACGTGCTCCATTGCAGGAGGACTTCCTGATGGTTTTAGTTTGCTGTTTCATCAACTGATTCAGTTTTGTAGCTTTTCAGGTCATGGAAAGCAATGCTCTGTGGCCCAGAGCAGACCAGGAACATACTCTCTCCTCTCCATCTTTAGTCTCATTCTCTGATTTCCAGTGGAGCTTTCTGACTGAGCCTTGCTCCATAACCAGAGAGCAATTCCTTCTCATGGTGTGTACATTTACACAAGGGTCTTTTCATCCCTGCCAGAATGCTGACTCACCATTTGGTGCTGGCTTCAGAGGGCAATGCCCATGGAAATACCAGGTGTTCCAGTATGGAAAAGCCAGACTGGTTTCCCACTGTTACTCTGTGGCTTTATTTTGCCCTTCAACCATCTGGCTGCACAAGCAGCTGTTCTGGAGGAGGAAAACCAGTGTCTCTCATTTTCAAAAGCAACGAGAACAAACATTTTCTTTTACTGAGCTAATACTGCACGAGGCAGAATATCAGGCAAAGCTGTGAATTCTGTTACGATAATGATGATCTTTTTCTCACTGTAGATAACATTGCCTCAGAACTGGAGAATTTTATGGGTCTGATTGAGACAGTAACGGGGTATGTGAAGATTCGTCATTCCCATGCATTGGTCTCCCTGTCTTTCCTGAAGAACCTGAGGTACATTCTGGGAGAGGAGCAGGTGGATGGGTAAGTGTCCAGATATTTGTGGATGCAATTTCACTTTAATAGAAAGCTGTGGATAATAAGTCTCCTAAAAACCATTCACTTTCATTTATAGAATCTCCTCTTCCACTAATATACAGTGTTTTTCTCCTCATTATCACCTCTGCACAGCATTGCTCTTTTGCATTACTGCCCAAATCAGCATGTTAAATTGAATATATTACAAGTATTTTATGGTACCTTTGCTGTTGCTTTTCACTTTAGGTTTTTCTAGGTACATTTTTACATCAATAAAGTGGCTTTGTTTGTTCTTTTTGCTCCCTTTGAGAAAAAAAGCCTCTCCAGAAGCAGTTGGATTTCTTTGTAGTTACAGCTGGGTTTTAGAAGAGTTTTATGGAGAAGTTAGCTGAAAGGAAATAGGAATTTTACCAGCCAGGGAGTGCAACTTGAAGTGAAACACTGGAAGTGCAAGTTGCAATTGTTTGCTACTCCTTGAAATGTTAGCATTACATGGATTATCTCCTGAGCATGCAAAAGACTGGTCAACAAGGAAAAGTTGATCCCTTGAAATGTTTGCTGTGGATTACGTTGCTTCTATAATTACTCACCATGTGATACTTATTGGTGTGCATAACTCCTGTTTTCCTATGATGTTAAAAGTTTGTCAAGACAAAAGTGTGTGATGCTGAGGTTGGCGAGGGTCCTTCAGCAAACTGTCTTGCTCTTTCTCATCCCAAATGGAGCAGCCATCCCAACTTTAAACCAGTGTTCTGTGGAAGAAATCAATCCTCTCCATAATGACAGAACTATTAAATGAAGAATCGGGGAAAATTGTAGAAGAAGAGGTAGTGTGAGGGTCCCTAGAAAGGTTGCTTCTGTCTGACATCTGTCCTGACTGTATAAAGTTTAAGCACCAGGGATTCTTCACAGCCTCCCTCTTTCTCTCAGGCTAGACTTTGGTCAGTCTTAAATTCTTAAAATTCCAGCATCTGACAGAGTGAGTGCAAGGGCAGCTCTCCCTGCTGCCCTAGCAGAGCATGCTGTGTGCTCAGGAAGAGCCCTGGCTCTTGGTTCCCACTGCAAATCCCATGGGATTGCCAGTGCTGCTCCTGGTGGGCTGTGCCTTCAGACACTCCACTGATGCACTTGTCTTTGCTTCTGTCCCCTCTCTCCCTCAACCTCTTTGAATCTGAGTTTAGCTTTGTCTCAGGTGGTAATTATGTTTGTGGTACCTTGTCTGTCACCAAACAGACAAGGGGAAACGGGAGGTTTAGCAGTCAGATTCCCCAAACAGAGCAGTAAATGGGTGAAGCTTTGAAGAAGAAAACAGGGCTGAATGGGGAGGCAAAACAGATCTATGGTAGAGCTGCTTGTGCTAAAATTCCTCTATGTTAGGAAATGACTGCAGTTACATACTAAGGGACAGGGGCAGTCTCTCTGCTTGGAAAATGCCTGGCATAATTCAGGCATTACCACAGTCTAAATAACATGTCCAAAAATACTTAGGTGGAAGTCGGCACCTGACAAGGAAGGACTGAGCCTGAAAAGTTATTTGGGCAGAACTATGAACAAGCTGGGAGTGGGATCTTAACCTGGAAAGCACTGGGTTATTGGAACAAGAGCTGTTTGTGCCAGCAGTGCCTTGAGGGGTGAGAGAGAGGGTAACTTACGATTATTGTTCATTACACGACTGACCCCACAGCCACTGTCCTTTTATTTATTGAACTGGACTGACAAAACAGCACTTCAGATGTTCTTTGTTCCTTATTCAGTTGCTGTTGCTTGCCTTGGTTATCACAGAAAGTGGAAAGTTTAGAGGGAATCTACTTTGTGTTTAGAGTTTTCATTGCCTCTTTTGAAAACCATGTCTGTAGTGAATAATAGCAAGAAAATAATTTCTCCTTTAAAATAGGGAAACTGGGATGGAGATGTGCTGCCAGAGGGGTCTTGGTGTCTGTTCCCTCACCTGGTGCTGACTCTGCCAGACCCCTCTGGGGTCTGTGTATTTACTGCTGTGTGCATGGATGGTGTGTAGGCAGCACATCCCTGAGCATCCCAGGTTGGGTACTGGAAAATGAGCAGTTTGTGGCCTTCAGGAGCAAGTGAGGAGATGGTGACTGACAGGAGTTTCAGCTGTGGCACTGACCTACTCTGATGTTGTGTTTCAACCTCTGCAGCAAACTGGGGGACAGCCTGTAAAATCAAAACAACCTCCCCCCTGTTTTCTACACCATTTTGAGGCAGAAGCATCAGCTGTCAGGCCTGCTGGAAGGTGTGAACAGCATCTCTAGCTGTTGTGTGGTTCCTCACTGAGGAGTTTATGGCTTGTTTTCCTGGGATCATTATTGTCAGGGTGTGGTGAATTCAGACTTCAGGAGAGCAGCAAGGCCTGATCTAACCACAGCATTCCAGCAGAGCAGGCACCCTCTGCTGAGGGTGGGTGGGGAATGAATGACACCCTCCAGACCTGTGGTGACACCTGCCTGCAGTGCAGACTCCCATGGGGATGCTCCTCGGCTCAGTCCTGATTTTGGGAGGGGATTTCTGAACTGCTGGTGTGTGAGTGAAGTTGGAAAAAGTGATTTGGGGAGTTTGTACACTGGGGTGTGAGGCTGAGTTTGTGTGGAGGTTTCAGAAACTCAAACGTTCAGCTTTTCAGACAAGAAAACACTGAACTTTAGTAAGGTGTGGTAGTTTCAAATTGACACAGGATTTGGTGATGTCTGTCAAATCCCACAGGCAGTTCAACATCCTTGTTTTCTTTTGGCAGAATTCATTTAAATCATAAACATGTCTTTGCTCCCTTGTTAACTGAGCACATTCTTCTCAGTGTCTGTGTGAAGTGGTACCAGATATATCAACTTCAGTAGCAATCAAGTCCTAGGTAATTAGGGGACAGGTGGAAATAGGAGAAACAACTTGGCTTTCACATTATTCTGAAAATACACAGTGGCAAATCTGTGCAGATTGGAGCCAGAATGCAATTTTTGTTTCGGGTTGGGTGAGGGAGGAATTAATGCTAAACTTTAAATGGAGTAATTGATGGAAAAAAATAATAATATGGCAGCTTTTTATGAGCCCTGTGGTTTGTTTGCCACATTTCTTTGCAGAAATCCTTTATTTAGAAGGGTTTGTAGAAAGCCCAGTGTAGCTGTGTTGACAAGGACTTAGCAGTGTAAGATGGGCTTCGTTGTGTTAATAGTGGATTTTGTCTTGCTGTAGTTAATGATGGTGGAACTTCCCACCAGAGTGAAATAAATGCTGCCATGGTAGGTTATCTTGATTTAAGTTCATCAGCTACACAGACCTTTATCTCATTTCCTAGTGGTGCATTCCTGTCCCTGCTATCCCCAAGTATCAGTGTCCTTGCAGGTGTCGTGTTGCAGCTGATGTAGAGCCTACAGTCTTGCTTCTGTTGCATGTGTGGTTTTTTTCCAATTCAGCCCAATTGAGTAGTACCAGGAATTTCTTCATAATATTTAATAGGGCTTTCATAATATTTAACAGGCTTTTGCACACAACTTTGTATACAGTATCTGTGGAAATAAAAGATGTGCATGTTGTTCCAGGGCTGTGCTTAGGGAGTGGGCTCAGCACAGCTGCCTGTGTTTAGTTCTGTGCTTTGAAGTGTGGATCCTGTGCAGTCAGTACAACTGTTTGCTGTTGGCTTTCGATGTACAGGTGCAACTGTACTTGGCACAATGTTGGAAATCTTTATTGGGCCAAGAGGTGGAACAGAGAGGCAAGGAAACCTCACTATGCAAACTCTTCGAGCTGCTTTTGTAAACATAAGCAAGAGCTGTGTTAATGACTGTTTTATTGTCAGGACTCCAGAAGGCTTTTCCTTCTATAAAGTATTTAAGGTTGCTGTTCCCATTTACCACCAAATGGAAAATCTAGTGTAGAGACCTGCTGTTCAGAGGACAGGAATTTATATGTTCCTCATAGCAGCTCCTGTACAACTCTTAAAACATTTTGGGGTGGCCTTTAGATGATGTGGTGTCACCTTTGGAGTCCTGTGTCACACTCATTTCCCTGCCCCCTAAACATTCAGGGTTAACTGCTCCATGGGAGAGAAGAAAGCCCTTTGCTGAACACCTGTTTAAATTAAGAGGGAAAAAACAGCATTTCAAAGATTTCTTATATTAAGGTATTCTTTGTTGGAATGGGCTGTGAATTAAAACGAGTACTTTTTCTTCAAAAACTTCCTTCTAGGAATTATTCCTTCTACGTGCTCGACAACCACAACCTTCAGCAGCTCTGGGACTGGAACCATCATAACTTGACAATCAGTGAGGGGAAAATGTACTTTGCATTTAATCCTAAACTCTGTGTTTCCGAGATTTACCGTATGGAGGAAGTTTCAGGAACCAAGGGAAGACAGAGCAAAGGAGATATAAATCCAAGGAACAATGGGGAGAGAGCCTCTTGTAAGTAAACAAACAAAAAATCTCTGCCAACTTCACAGGAGGGTGTCACAAGAACAAACCCAACATGCTGACACGTTGCTGACCATTACAATATTTAGAGTTTAGGATTTGCAGGAGACTTTCAGCCCTTCTGCTTCTTCAGGCTTTAAACTGTAGCTGTGAAGGTACCTTTGCATGAGTGGAAAATGATGTGGTTACACAGTCCCTATCTCATCTGTAAAACCCACTTGTAGAAGATGACTTCTTCCCAAATCCCCTGTTTTGTGACAGCAGTAGCAAACAATAGGAGCACACCTGGGAAATGAGAAATGAAATCCGGTAGTTTGGTGTATCTAACAAAGAGCAATTTCTCAGTCTCCTTTGTAACTGTGCAACATTATAGGTATTTTCCTCTCTCTGATACTTATTCTTTCTTGATATTAAGGAAGCTGCTGAAAAACAATTCCATAGACACCAAAACAGTTTCTGTTACATTCAGCTTCATTTAAGCTCCTGCCAAATATTGTATCTGTTGTTTCAAACTTAGTTTGCTCTGCTTCATTTTCAAATTACTTGCTTTTGAATTGAGAAGACTTTTTAATGTTCTGCAGTATTTCTAAGGCTGAGTCTATCTGCATTTAATTTTGGATTCTGCAGTGGTTGGAGTTACTGGGAAGTCCTCTCTTGGCTTTGGTGGTCTGCACATAAAGTCTCCAGGTGTAACACCACGTTTGAAAGCAATCTCTCTTCTAGGAATAAAAATGCCTACAAGTTTCACCTCAAACCCTTAAAACTGACAATGCATTTTTCCCTTGGTTGGTTTGTGGTGTTTTTGGAGCAGAGTAAACTGAAATGGATCTCGTGTATAAGTCAAGTCCCCTTGTTGTGGATGGTGCTTACAGAAGTAGGACACGTAGTCTGCTGAATGTCTCTCTGGGCACGGTGCAGACACGCAGATGGCCCAGATCCTTGCTGTAAGCACCCTCCATTCTTTGCACATTGAATAGAGCAAAGCCTTGCAGTCCTGGAGGAGTTACAGACACACAGCCAGGCCTTACTACCACTGAGGCCAGTGCCAGCCGCTGCCTGCTTTTTTAAGAAACCAGTACAGAAAGCTTTCTGACTCTGAGAAGGGCAAAAGAATCAACAAAAGCTCAACTGCCTTTGCAAAGATAGCACCAACAGTGCCAGTGTACACGAGGGTGAAAACCTCTTTATTTTCAGAGCTTCTATGGAACATTAGAAACTAGCTCACAGTTGACAGAACACAATTTCTTCATCCAAGAATTAAGTTTTTAAAATGCTATTTTGTTTTGGGTTGGAAAGCTCAGTGAGTTGGTAGTGGGAAGCCATTCATTTCAAAGCTGTGGGCTTCCGTCCAGGTCTGTTCAGAAGAGTAGCTGGAAGCTGCTGCCATCAAATGGTTGTGCCGTATATGAACTGAGTTTTGGAGTTCTTGGTCCAGCCTCTGATGAATAGGAATGTAAACTCCTTTGTCTTTTCCATGTTGTTCAGTCTCCAGAAAAACAAATGGTAGTTGTCAAAAGTTGTCCTGGAGAGTGAGCACACAGAGGCCGGTGGCTGCTCCGCGCGTGCTTTGGAGCCGGATGATGAATTTAGTGCTTCCAAAACCAGTCCTGTGGATAAACAGTGATTCCATTCCTCGCTCAGGGAGAGTCTGAAGTAGTTTTCAAGAGCTTTCTGATGATGCATTAAAGGAAAATCCGCTTCAAAAAAATTAATAACAAGTGGCTCAAGCATGTTTTAAACTGATTGCCAAGGTCACTGCTTAAGCACTCAAGTGTAGTAGGAGGAAAGAGGAAGCTCTACAGAAACAAAGGCTGTTGGTATCCTGTGGTGTCATAGGTGCTCCTGGAAAGGCTCATTAGCTAAAACTGATATCTAAGAAACAAAAAACACTGACAGGTGATGTGATGCCCACTCTGGCACGTCCTGTCCTTTTGTATTGCAGGTGAAAGCAAAATTCTGCATTTTGTTTCCAACACGACACTCAAGAATCGGATTAAACTGACATGGGAGCGGTACCGCCCTCCAGATTACAGAGACCTCATTAGCTTCACTGTTTACTACAAAGAGGCGTAAGTAGATGTCAGAGATGAGCCAGGGCAGTCCAGGGGAGAGCAGATGATTCTGTTCCTACTGTGGGATGGCTCATCCAGTTTGTGTATTTCATCCTCAAGTCCTGCTTTGGTTCTGGTCTTCTCTTGGTGGAACGCAAGCCTCCTTTAAAAAGAGTATGAGTTTGAATGAGTGCTACAAATGGATTGCAAATCCATCAGGAAGTTTCAAATTTGGAAAAAGAGAAAGGTGGATGGCTTGGCTCTTCTCAGGGGTCTGATTCGGAGCTCCTCCTAAGTCATCATGTTTACTGAGGTATTTTCTTTCTCTAGTCAAAGTACTGACTAGAGAGCTTCCCAGGCCAGGAGTTTGCCCTGCCACCTGGATACTTATTTGCTCAGGGTTTGGCATTATTTAGACTATGCAGCTTGGGTAATTTCCTGCATTAGTATCTCTTGATAATGAAGGTGTGGCGCAGTTACTAGAGAAATCCAAATTACTTGGGAGATGCCTCTGCCTTTGCATATCCTTGTAATGGCTCGGATTTAAAATAATTAAAAAAACAAATGAGCACAAAAATAACTCTCCAAGCAGTCTGGAGGTGTGAAAGGGAGGTTTGGAATGCTGGTAATGAGACATGGAAGCACAAATGGTTCGTGTCCAGCATCACTTGATAAAGATCATTGTGATGTTCTACAATGAAGCCAGTGCTTGACAAGCGTACAGATACTAATAACAAGAGTTTGTGTGCTCTTGCACCAGTGTTACAGCTTCTAAAAAGTAGAACTATATAAGTGTGTTTGTATTGTGTGGAAATAAAAGGGTGAAAAGTCCATTGGGCTGGTCAAGGCCAGTCTTGGAACTTTGGGTTCTTCATGGTAAAAAGCCTGGCCATTATCAATAATGGTTTTGAGTTGCTTCTGTTTGATTTATGTTTATTTAAAGTCTAAATAAGTCTGAAGTATTTCACTGCCTGTTTTGAGAAAAAAAATATATAAATACAGTGTTTTCTTGGAGAATGTTGTTTTATTTTTCATGACTAAAACTGAACTCTGAATTTTGTACTTCTTGGAAATACCTTTTTTTTTTCTGTTGTAATCTACTGTGGAAAGCAAGTAAGCTTTATTTGTTTCATTGAGCAGCTTTGAAGTGAGGCACTCTCATACGTATATGACAATCTTTGGGAGAAAATAAATATTTGTGCTTTTTTCTTCGAATATTTCAGACCATTCAAAAATGTGACAGAGTATGATGGGCAAGATGCTTGTGGCTCAAATAGCTGGAACATGGTTGATGTTGACCTGCCACCAAACAAAGAGAACAATCCTGGAATTCTGCTGCAGGGATTGAAACCTTGGACTCAATATGCCATTTATGTCAAGGCTGTTACCCTCACAATGATGGAAAATCATCATATTCATGGAGCAAAAAGTGAAATTATCTATATTCGAACCAATGCTGCAGGTGAGATGTGGTCTCTGGGGTGAGAGGTTGGTAATGCTGCAGGTGTGATTAGTGCATTATTGTGTAAGTTCTGTTGTTGATACAGAAGTAAAATTTATGTGCAGATGATGTGCACAGTGCTAGCAGTTTCACTAATTATGAAAGTAGCATTAAAATTTGAATTCAGACTCTTTTTTCATATATTACTTTCATTAGGAATCATGGAAACTTCTTGGCGTTAGAATTTCATGCTTGTTCCGTTGTAAAGACTAACTTAAGTGCAACTTTAGGTTGAGACTTGGTTGCAGTCAAAGCCTTAACTTGGCATAAGTAGAAAATCCTTTCTCGGAAATAGGGTGGTGTTTTTCCTTGCAGTATAGAAATGCATTGGGATTCACTCAAAAGCTTGCATGGAAATAGATTGTGGAGTGCTCTAGATGTAAACACTTTCCTTTTTTCTTTTTTCCTTCTCTAGTGCCATCCATTCCCTTGGATGTTATTTCAGCATCCAACTCCTCATCCCAGCTGATTGTGAAATGGAATCCTCCTTCTCTTCCCAACGGGAACCTCTCCTACTACATCGTGCGCTGGCAGCAGCAGCCTCAGGACAGTTACCTGTACAGACACAACTACTGCTCCAAAGGTAGGAGAGCTAAATGCTCTTGTGTTGAAATGCCTGGGACTCTGCCTGCCAGGGCTCTTCACTGGCAAGAGCTAAATAACAGCAAGTAGAGGGAATGGGTAAATACAGATTGTTGCTGTATCCGTGATCTGGAGAGAAAGAAACCAGCTCTGTTCTTTCCTTTCAAGATAAAGTCCCAATTCGAAGATATGCTGATGGGACCATTGATACAGAAGAAGCCACTGAGCCCACCAAGCCAGAGGGCTGTGGGGGAGAAAAAGGACCTTGCTGTGCTTGTCCCAAGACAGAGGCAGAAAAGCAAGCGGAGAAGGAGGAAGCAGAGTACCGGAAAGTCTTTGAGAACTTCCTTCATAACTCCATCTTTGTCCCCAGGTAATGGATTTTGGACACTCCTTTGGAAGTAGGGCTGATAATTTCATCTTCTAACATTTCCTAGAACTTAGGTTTCCTGGACATGAAAGCACACAGAAACACCTGAAACACTAAACATTGCTTTTCCTTTCATGTGAGACAATCCACAGTCTTACTTTGTGGTTTCTCTTATTTGCCAATTTTCATTTCTGTCTTTCAATTGTAGCCCATAGTAAGGGTTCTTAGCTGTATTGATCAAGGATTTCAGTGATGGTTTCTTTTCAGACTCAAGAGTCACTTAAGGAGCTCATTGTCTGTAAGGGTTTCAGAGATGAGCAACATGAGGCAGACGGAGGGTTTCAGATGAGATTTTTCTCTAAATAACCATTGAAGTACTTGTGCTCCTAATCTGAAGATTTATCTTTGAAATTAAGGGCACAGTTGCCTCAAAGAATTGAAACTGGTTTTCTGTTCTCACTGCACTAATTGCAAAGGGCTTGTATGTTTCCTGGGTCAGCTCTGCAGAGAAGTATTAAATATTTCCACTCTCCCATGATAAACACCTGCTTACATGTTAAGTGGAATTCTCATGATTCTGTGCTGCAACACAGTGGATCCTATTTAATTAATTGGTGATTTTGATCCTTGAGTTTCCAATTTATCTTTTAGGTAAGCTGTTGTTACTTTGGATGACTGGATGATGGGGCAGGGCACACAACGTACAGCTGTTGTGTTACAGTCTTTAATACACTGTTAGATCTCAGTGGTGCACCTTGTCTCATTCTCCCTTCTGGCAGGGGAAGCACATAGTCAAATCCTGTGTTTGAGAACTCTAAAGTGTGGCATTGCTGCTCATTGATGCTGGTTCATATCATTCTCCATTGTGATGTTTTTTGGACCTTTTTTCAAGGATGTGTTGGATTGACTTGTTGGGGTTGAGACTTTGATACTTGTGATGCTTCTTAGCTCTATCCAATAAAATGAGGAACTAAATACTGCCTCTCTTGGGAGGCGTGAAGTATCTTGTCTCAGCTGTGTTTGGGTCACACTGAGCATTTGTGCAGTGTTTCCCCAGTGATGATGAGAAGCAGCAGCCAAGATCAGGTGCAGGGAAGTTACAGCCTCTGTGTCTGATCATGATGTAGATCCTGAGCCGTGGGAATTTGCAAGATCTGATTTTGGACTTCATGAAATAGCACAGCAGGGAGTTTTGAAAGCCATGTGTCAAGCCTAAACTACTTGAAAGTCTGCTGCAAAGGAGGTTTTTCTATTTCTCCAAACATTTGTAATTCAAAATGTGTTGTCTTCTCCCAAATTTTCTTGCAGTCCTGCTCCCCTCCAAGAAACTCATAGAACCTTGAACTAAGTAACAAATAAACTGATCAGTTCACAGAGAATTTCCTGAAAGCTTGTCCTTTTCTCTTAAATTACTGCCATTAGGGTGTTTTGTAACAGCAGGGGCAGATAAGGGACAATGCTCAGCAATAGCTGCATAGCCAAGCAACTTTTAAGAGACTGTATGTCAGGGAAATTAAAGTTTATGAGCTGGTGAGACATCTCCATGGGACAAATTTAAGCAGCTTGTTACTTGATGTCAGTTTTTTTTTCCTCTTTCCCAAGGGAGAAGTTAATTAATGTGTTAATGCAAGCCTCAATAGTAGTATTTATTTCCAGTGTTCTACCTGTCTCCAGGTTATTATGAAAGAGTTGCAGCATGTAATACAGCATGAAAGTATTTGGCTGGGTGGTTTTAAGATTGTTTAAGAAGTCTGTTGATCTAATCTCTTGTGCAACTTCTGGATGACCCCGTGTGTATTAGTGCCATGGTGGATTTCAGACAGGACTCTGCTTAGTCTTGAAGAGACACTCACTATTAGAGGAGAATGAGTTCCTTCTCCAAGGTTTTTGTTTCTCTAATGAGCAGGATGGGACAGGCTCTGTGTGTAGTCTGAGCAGTAATATTAAAATGGCCATGAAGTAGAAAAAGAGTGAGTTTTGCTGTTAAATAGCCCAGTCTTTTTAAAAAATCTTTTTTATTGGATTTTTAATTTTTTATAGTGTTATTTTTAGTTTTTCTCTTGCATGTCTTTTCCTTCCTCTCCCTTAATGGAATAAATGATTTTTCAAGTTTTTATCTCTTGACTTTTCCTTATTCTTTGGATGCTTGTTTTTTTACCTTTATCTCTGCATTTCATGAATGCAGGAAGCTGCTTGACTGAAAAGCACTAATGCCAAATCTCATGATGTTTTAATTATATTTGCCTTATGGTTATCCTTCAGCTCTTCCTGACATAACTGTAGTTTTCACCAACAAGTTTTGTGTTCCTTTATATTTTTCTCCAAAGACGGGGTAGGGCTGGACTCCCCTCCACTCCCAGGTACCACCAAAGAGTTGAAGCTCCATGCATCCCATAAAAGCAGTGATAAAGTCAGGCCTTTTGGGTTCTTGCATTGGCGCATGCTTTTGTGGTTGATTGAAAATTAATTTTTTATTTTCACTGCTTTAACCACAGAATCTGCACAAATGTTCATCAGTTCAGGGCTAGGCATCCAACTTTTTACTGATGAGAAGTTTGTTCTTTGCACTGAGCTAAAGCAGTAAATCAATACACATTGTAAGCAGAGTGAATACGTTTAGTAACTTCATAGATACTGTATAGACGAGGCACAAATGCTTATATCCTATGAAATTGCCTTGACTGACAAGATATTCACTTGCTGCTACTTAAAACAATTTCTTGCTAACTTAGGAAAGTCTTTCTTGTCTGTGTTTATTTCTGTGACGTGGTTTACATGGTGGTTAGAGTGTCAAAATGACTACTCACGACATATTAAAGGGATTTTGGAAATTCTTGTAGTCAAGTCCTAAAGAAAAAAATTCATCCAACCTCTGCCAGAAGGTTTCAAAACTGAGTGAGCCTGTTCTTGGCTCTCTCTGCAACATGCTGCTCTGTGGCTGCATGTTCTCAGATGATATATTTGACAGTGAATTAAGTTCTCCTGTTGAGTCATCTTTGCTCCTGTTGTGTGTTCGAGGGAGGCCTCATTTGCCTGGTTTGTAACTTGCTTTCTGGTAGAGCTGTTGGACCTCATGCCCTTGGTGCCTGTTGCACTGGTGTTCCATGGGCCCTGGTGAAGTGATTTCAGGGATAGGATTCAAGCCCAAATTGGTTTTGTAGTGTGACTCTTCTTACTTTCTCCTTTACTTCCCCTGGGGCGTTGCTTTCTGGGTATGAGCATTCCTGCAGCCCCTGGAGACAAAGGAGCAGGAGCAGTAAAGCCAGAGTGCCCGGAGTAGTTGGTGCTCCTGTGCAGAACAGCCTCAAGATCTGGGGCAGGACCAAAGGGCAGGTCCAGTGTATGGCTACAGGGTGCTGGTTACCTGATCCAAGTGGTTCTAAGAGTATCTTGATCCTTGTCCTGAAACTTGGGGCTGTCCACTACAGCAATTCCACGGGCTTGAGAAAGCAGTGGTGTTGCTGGAAATCCTCAGCTTTTTAGCTCTGCTTAAATTTCACCCAGATGCCTGTAAGGCAAAGCTGCTCATTGAACTTTTGCCTCTACACAATATTAGTGCTGAGTTTTCTTACATGGGAGGACTGTTCCTTTTGCAGAGCTTTTGTTTGGGTGAGAGAAGCAGAGATACACAGATGACCACCTGAGTGGTGGTGAACCTTCACGGCCTTCAGCTGCCTTCCAAGCTTTCTCCTCTCAGTCCAATACATTCTAATTTCATCACAACTGCAAAGCTAACTCTCAGTAGGCTCAGCTTCCTTTGCTAATCCAGCAAACTTCAAAACAGTTTTTCCCCCCTAACCTTTTCAACCTTTAGCATCTGATTTTTATTTTAAGCTTCAGCATCACTGTCATGAGACACAAATCCAGGATGTTTGTTGAGTAACAGTGAAGCTGTTCTTTGCTGGTTGGTTTATTGTGTGAGGTCAGAAGTTTGCACATTCATCTTGGGGTGCAGTGTGAGCTTTGGGGTTTTGGTTGCTTCCTGACCAAAAGAGAAATGAGATGTGCTGACACATGGAAGGTTCAGATTTGGAGAAAGTTTTCCTCTTGTTTTGCAGTTTCCTTTATTTAGCTTTTTTATTAGCTATTCACTGGGGTGTTTGGCAGTTTTCCCAAAGCTGGAGAAGTGGATTTTCTCTAAAGAGCCCTTCCTGTACCTGTGTGCTCCTCAGGCCCGACCGGAAGCGCAGGGACGTGTTCCGAATCGCCAACGCCACCTTGGCCACTCGGAGCAGGAACGCCACCGGGACCGACCACTTCACCAACGCCTCTGACACGGAGGAGAGCGAGGTGGAATATCCCTTCTTTGAGACCAAGGTGGATGGCAAGGAGAGAACCGTGATCTCCCATCTCCAGCCTTTCACTCTTTACCGCATCGACATCCACAGCTGCAACCACGAGGCCGACACGCTGGGCTGCAGCGCGTCCAACTTCGTGTTTGCCAGAACCATGCCCTCAGGTATGCTCACACGGGGCAGCTCTGCCTGGACTGGGCAGAGATCAAGCTCAGGGGGACAAGCTCTCCCAAACCAGTTAGAATTAACAGTGGAGTATAGTAAAAAAGACTCCATGCAGTAGGATAAATTGGAGCTGCATAGATTTTTTGTGTTTCATGTCCTTGACTGGTATGTTGTGTGTGCTGAGTGATGTCTTTGAGTCTCTGCTGGGAGCTGGAGAAAGGGAGAAGTTGACTGCCAGGATAATTAGGAGAGACTCTGTTTCCCAGGAATACAAGTGAGACCCCAGACATGGTGGGCTGAAGGGTTTTGTTCCTCAGCTCCCTGTGTGCTGAATAGAGCCACGGCAACGTTTCTCTGCTAATGTTTGGTTTTGCTGTGTTCGCTCGGAACTGTTTGCAGATGTTGGAGTTTTGCTGGTGGGAATGTTTGCCAAATGTTTCTTCTGTCACAGAACGACCATGCATTTGTCCAGCCTGGGAACAGGAGGAGTACTGTGTTTCTTTGTGCCCAATCCCTGGTCTCTAGACTACTTCAAATAGGAAGCATTGAATGCTCTGCTCGTCTTTGGGACTTTTGCAGATTGTACTTCTGAGAAGAATAGAGATGATTTTAGTGTAAGCTCGTATGCAACGAGCTTCTGACTCCAGCAGATGTCTGGGGATATTGGATGCAGAATGGTAGCAATTTTGTTTTGTTTCTGAAAGGAAAGGCTATCATAATCCAGATACAGCTGTGTCAGTAAAAAAAAGCAAAAAGTATTGCTTATTTCAAGGAAATAAGGAAATCTTGAGATCAGGGAAAAGTAAAGAACTGTTCTCAGACTTTTAACACATACCTCTGAAAATAAAAGGCTAAACAATCTTTTCTTCTGTTATCTTTGAGATCTTTGAGAAGGTGGTATTTTTTCAGTCCAGACTGAAACACACTTCATGTTCCTGTTAAGTTTTGAATAAGTCACATAAAATTATTAGGAATCAAACAGGGGTAAAGCAGTTCCTGAATTGCTGCTGAGACTCTGTTTTAAATGGGGATGGATTTCCTATGACTGTTGTAGGAAAAGGCTGTCAGTGGGGCAGATGTGTGTTTACAGCTCTTTGCAGCCATTTGCTGGGAATAGCTCCCTGTGCTGTTTTGGTGTTGGGGAGAGTTGGGAAGGAAGGATCAGGTGCTGATAACCAGGGTGTTTTGACACACAGAGCCCATGCCTGGTGGAGCTGTATGCTCTGCCCTGATTTTCTGGGAACCAGTATTTCAGACTGAGCTCATCTCCAGCAGGCCCTTGGCCAATGGGATTTGTTCCCTGGATTTGAATGGCTCTTGCTGCAGAGCTTCTGCACCTGAAGAATATCATGAACCTTCCATTTTCCTCAACTCTTGCTGAAGTTCCTGTTTCAGTCACAGATGTTCCTCTCACATCACCTGTAAATATTTTACAGAGGGAGCAGATAACATTCCAGGAACAGTATCATGGGAAGCAAAAGAGGAAAATACTGTCTACCTGAAGTGGTTGGAGCCTGCAAATCCAAATGGGCTGATCCTGATGTATGAAATCAAATATGGGCAGCATGGCGAGGTGAGGATTTGACATTACTGCTCATAACCCTTAATTTATACACAGTAAAGGATCTTAACATGCTTCTGTGTAGTGCTGTGCAAGCAGAAATTGTGATTTCAGACACCCAGCACCTGCCAGCATCTTTGCTTCATTTCCTTTGAGTTCTTAAATTCCATGTATCTCCTTATGGTGCTTGAAGTAAAACTGATCAGGTGGGCCTTTTAGTTATAAAAATGAGCTTATCTTGCAGCTGTATTGCTTTCTCCAGAATGTGAAGATAATAACATATGTAAATTGCTTTTTTCTTCTAGGAGAAGCGGGAATGTGTTTCCAGACAGGAATACAAGAAGCTTGGAGGAGCTAAACTAACTCACCTGAACCCTGGAAACTATTCAGCCAGAGTTCAGGCCACTTCCTTAGCTGGGAATGGGTCCTGGACTGAGCCCATCTCTTTCTATGTGCAGCCCAAATGTAAGACAAATGTTTGTAGCCTGTTGAATTGGGGGTTTATTGTCTTTTTAATAATTCCTGATATTCATGTGACTGGGTATCTGAGCCTCTTGCCTCTGAGCACTCCTCTTACTTGCTGATGGTTCTTTGGGAACTCTTCTCTGGTCCTTTTTTTTTGGCAAGTGTTGACAGCCAGGAGGGGTATGTGAGGTGTGGTCCTTTCCTTGCAGCTTTGGGTGTCAGTGTGAGGTGCAGCCAGGTGTGGGTGTGAACACCCTGCTGTGGCTTCCTGGCATGTGCAGCTATCTTGGGAATGTGATGTTAGCTGTGACAACATGGAGCTGCCATGTACAAAACCTGTACAGGCAGCAAGGCAAACTTGCTTAAAATTGCAAAGTAATCAGAGAAACAAATAATTTGTTTTTTGACTGGTGAATTGACCTGTTCTGAGTGGTATTTGATGAAAAAAGTGTCCTGATGAAAGGGTGATGCTGGTCCTGACAATGGGAGTCATTTATATTTTGGAAGAACATGACCACAGAGACCCTCTTTAAGACGTTCTGTATTTAGTTGTAGAGCAGGTATATCCCCAGAAAACTGCAATTCCATCTTTTATCCCTTTTTAGTTTTTTGATTACTGAACTTTGAACAGTTGGAAGTAAAGTGCAGTGCATGTGTATTCTGAATATGAGCAGCTGCAAGGTGAACAAAAGGTGGAAAAAAAGGTGAATGTTCAAGTGAACAATTGGATATTGTTCACTGAGGAATGCAAGTCCTTTAAGTATAGCTTGTGAAAACAAAGCCCAGACAGACACTGTTCTGTAAAAAATTAATGCCTTTCAGTGTCTGCTTTCTTGTTTCACTCATCTGCAGTCAGGGAGGGTTTCCGAGTACATTTTTCCACATCAGACAAGAAAATGAGAACTTTGATTTCTTCCCTGTATGGAAATACACTGAGTGGGTTTTGAATGTTTCTTTGTTAACAGAGGTTTTATAGAAACCCTGATACAATTGTTTTCTTGTTGGTTGCAGCAGCAAACTATGGAAACTTCCTGCACTTGGTAATTGTGCTCCCTATTGCTCTGCTGCTCATCCTTGGGGGATTGCTGATAATGCTCTATGTCTTTAACAAAAAGAGGTGAGTTCCATGTGCTGGTGCTTAAACCTGCAGGAGAGGGAATTGTTTATTTTCAAATCTGTGCCCATGGAGTGAGTTAGAAATTAAAAAGAGAAATGACATTCAGAGGAGTTGAGAGGCTGAGGTAGATTCTGCCTCATTGGTATGGAAAAGGAGCTGGTTTAGAGTTACCAGCATATGTCTGCTGCTGCTGGAGATAGGAAGAGAGTTTTTATTTCAGTGTCATGTTTGAGTGGGAAGAGGAAGGCTTGTGAGAAACATATCAGTGGGGCAGTGATGGCACACACTGGACCTGTATAATCAGAAGATTTGACTGAAATACAGGTCAATAGAAATCATGAAAAGTTAGTTCCATTTAGGTTAATGTGATTTTTTTTTCAAATTCTGTAGGGTTTTTTGAAGCCTTTACATTCACTTAAAAAATTAAATCCTGGCCAAGAGCCGCCATTAGGACTGTTCTGTTAATTTGTTTTCCTCAGTTTTGTTTTTTTTAACTAGTGATTTATTTTTTTTTTAATCTCCTTGAAATACATAATGAGAACTTAATAGCAGTACAAATGTTCAGTCTTGCCACTTTCTAGCTATGGAGGCTTTTTTATTGCTCTCACATTAATTGTGGTCATTGAGTACCCCATGATTTCCAGCTCTAATTCACTGGTGGCACTGCAGACAGGGGTACCAGTTCTGCTCAAGCTCTCCAGAAAGGGCTTTGTCTCTACTGATTACAATAATTACTTTGCCTTCCTTAGGCTCTCCTAGGTGAAATTCCTGATAATTTTTCCTTGTTTAAACTGTTGTTCTGACACAAGAATACTTTCTCTGTGAGCCTGTCTCCTGCAAAAGCTCTCAAAGTGCATTTATTACATGTCTTAGTCTGAAAATCACCCCAGTAAAATTGGGAAGTGTGGCATTGTGTGGTTTTAAAATATTAGAAACACTTAAGAAATAGTTGAATGGAATCCCCCACTAAAAACAGTCTTGTCTTTTGCTAAAAATCTTCACTCCCACAGCAGAGCTGATGATGGTAAAGTGCATTCTCAGCCACAGGTCTCCTGGTTGTATAAAAATATAACTGCCTTTCTTACAAGAAGTTTACCCAGAAGCTAAAAGTACCTTGTGTTTACATTTTCCTGGTGCTGATTTGGTGTAGAGAAGACTCCAGAATTCCTGTGGAGCTGTTCTGGACTGTGTTCCCATTGATTATTTGAGGTAGATGAGATCTCAGTTTGTCCCCTTTGTCTGAAAAACTCCACATGCAGTAAATAATATTCTGTGGTTGAGGAAGCAGTGGAAAAGCTGTAGAAGAGATGGTCTGAAATGTACTTGCATTTAAAGATAAAAGAAATAAACCCCAATATTTCTACAGGAACAGTGACAGACTGGGCAATGGAGTACTTTATGCTTCTGTGAACCCCGAGTATTTCAGTGCCTCAGATGGTGAGTGTGACCTGAACTTGTGATGCTTTTACTCTCCTAAGTTCTGTTGGTGTCTGACTTTGACAGGTATGAAACTCTAAAAGATGTGCTGTAAATGCCACTTGTCTGTTGAATTTTTGTTTTTTTCCTGTAGTTTTATCCACCTGAGGCAAATTCAGATTCACTAGTTTCACTTTCAGATTATTGTTTACTCTTCCAGTGATGTTTTCACTGGAATGAAGGAAGAATGAATGGATTTGTGGCCTTTCATGTTTGCCCTTTTAAGCTCTGTTTTGCCCTATTGAAACAAACCCTCTACTTAAAGAAATCACGACATCAGACAAATGTCCTTGAAGCCTCAGTTTTTCTGTTTATGGTTTGGTTTGGTGCTGCTGTTGTAGAATTCTTGCTGAAATAGTATTTCCAGAAGCCCCCAGGAGACTAATGGGTTTACCCAGAGTGGCAGCAGACTATTTTACTGTTATTTTTTACAGCAACACCATTAGGGTTAAAGGTCTGCCACTGTTCATTGCTATAGTCCTCTGTTTTCATCCTGTCATTTCACCCATGCAGAGCATGTGACACAGCTGTCCCCTCCTTTGGTGACTGATAGGCAGCAGCATCAGTGAGTACTTGGATGTCTTCTTGCCTGAGGCAGTCCTGCCTCCTGGCAGTCACCTTCTGAGAGCTCTCTTCTGCCTCAGATCAAAGACCTGCAGCAGCAGCAGCAAGTTCTGCCTTTGCTGGTGCAATGGTGTGTGTGCAAGGGATCAGAATGGTGCCATGCAAAGAGCTGCTGGATCAGAGTCTGCTTCCCTCTAGCCATTAATAAAGAATACAGCAGACGCTGAACTGATGCAGATGATCAAGTATGTTTGATGCTGTCTGGGAGAATTAGGAGAGCAAGGATTCCAAGAAAAGATTTAACCTAAAGCATTGATTTGAGCCTCTTCCCACCCTGGTTTTGTACTTTGAGGTTCCTTATTTCTATCCCAAGATGTCAGTACCATAGTGAGGCTGCTTCAAGTCCACATTTCTTTCAGATTTATTTGTATGCTGTCATCCCCTTGCCTCTGTATGGGACAGACCTGTTTGCACACATGGTGCAAGGTCTCAGCATTGTGTGTGGGTGTTAGCCCCAGAGCTGTTGGGGCAGCTGCTGTAGTGGAGCAGGGAGTGATCCCAGCGTGGACAGTGGAACATCACAGCCTGTTCTCTCTCCCCTCAGTGTATGTTCCAGACGAGTGGGAGGTGCCCCGGGAGAAGATCACCATGTGTCGGGAGCTTGGGCAAGGCTCCTTTGGGATGGTGTACGAGGGAATAGCCAAGGGAGTGGTGAAGGATGAGCCAGAGACCAGGGTGGCCATCAAGACGGTCAATGAGTCGGCGAGCATGCGCGAGAGGATCGAGTTCCTGAACGAGGCCTCGGTGATGAAGGAGTTCAACTGTCACCATGTGGTGAGTCCTGGAGATGTGACGAGGCTGTGACTCATCCAGCCCTTTGCCATGAGGCTGTTCTGGGCATGACTGCCCTGACTGAAGTGGGAATTTGGGATTTTAGCTTCGACTCTGCACAACGTTGTAATATTATTGTGAAATCCCAGTCAGAAAGTGGAACCAAATCTACATTCAGACCTTTCCCACAGGTTCCCACAAGGCTACATATCAACATGAATAAATGGTAATTAGCTGTACTTGTATTCTTGTACTGAACATTCGTTTTTGCTCTGCCAGGTTCGGCTGCTTGGTGTTGTTTCTCAGGGCCAGCCTACACTGGTTATCATGGAGCTGATGACACGTGGGGACCTCAAAAGTTACCTGAGATCATTGAGGCCAGACACAGAGGTGAGTCATGAGTTGCTGGATGTTTATTTCTTCAGTTTGAATCATCTTGAACAAGACAGCCTCACGTTGGAAGCAGCAGGCAATTAGCCTTTCCTGCCCTTCTCCTTCAGTCTAAGGACAAAACATGAGCTGTTGTGTGATCTCCAGCAGCTCTTTCATGAGGCAGCCCAGGGGACCACATGGGATAGGTCCTTTCTTGTCACCAAGTCCTCTTTTCCAGATTTGCATTAGATTTCTTGTCTGATCTACTTTCTCATCAAGATGTTAAAGAAATTGACTGGTTTAAGAACACGTGTTAGGATAATTTTTCCATGGCGTGTGTCCTGCCCATTGCCCCTGCTAAAAAGTAAATACCTGTTACCTTAGCTCCTGTGCAAACTCTCATGCACAGGCCATCAGTCTAGCAGCTAAAATCTAACATGTGACACAGGGTCTGAAGGATAAAAATGACACACTTGCCACTGAAATCACAGCAGCCTATGTAGAAAATGAGCTCAGCAGCTTTTTCCCTTGATCTAGAAATTCCAATGTGGATAAATTACAGGAGCAGAACACGAGGACAGTGTGTGCACAAGAGAATGGATGTGGTCTGTTAATTGCCTGATCTTGCTCTTGCTCAGAACAACCCTGGGCAGGCGCCCCCAACCCTGAAGAAGATGATCCAGATGGCAGGAGAGATCGCTGATGGCATGGCCTATCTCAACGCCAACAAGTTCGTGCACAGGGACCTCGCTGCCAGGAACTGCATGGTGGCTGAGGACTTCACTGTCAAAATTGGAGGTGGGCTGTCCTGACCCTTACACAGCTCATAGAATCATCCTGCAACATCATTGTCCTTTTATTTATTTATTTACTTGTTTGTTTGTTTATAACTTAGCTCTAGTTTAAATATCTGCGGAATGAAATATGTTCCTTGTGAAGACTTACTGTGATTTAAGACCTCCAAGCAGTTAACATTAAGTTGATACCTCTGCTTGCTGTTGTTCCAGTGAGGCAGCAGTATAGCATGTGGGTTTAAAAAGGGCTGGTGAGGCAGTGATTTAGGTTCAGACACCTGGGTGGATGGTGTAGTTACCACTCGTGTGTCATTCATGTCTCTGTTAATGCACAAAAATAATTCTACCTCCTGTTTATTGATTCAAGAATGAGAATTTCAGGATTATTTTAAATCATATCTGAGTTGGAAGTGGAATGACTTCATCTGGGTGCTTTCCAGTCTAAACTGGAGTTCTGCTTCCCAGACAGCTGAATGGCTTTTCTTCTGCTCTGCTGTTAGATCACCAATTTTTTTTTTTTCTTTCACCATCCCTCCAAAATAGTGTCAGATGAGTTTTTTCAGTCTTCTCTCCAGAGAGAGTGATTTTAAGCTGTTGGCTGTTTTTGAGTTGTGCATATTAAAATAACATGTATAGCAACAGCCTTCTGCTGTAGGAAACTAATTCTTTTTCTCTGAGCTTAACTCAGCTATTTTGATAATTTGTGTAAGTAATCCTGTCATTTGGGAGAAAGAAAAAATGATTTCATTTTGAGTCAGTTAATTAGGAAATAAGATCTTTTGGGGATTTTGTGTATTTTCTGCAGGTTCGTGGGAAGTCAGCCTAAATCCTTCCCATTCCAATTTTCTCCTCCTGCCCCCACCAGCCTGTTTTACAATTCTGTAAACTGAAGATATGGTGCATTTCTTCCCTTTAACATGTTCATGGTTACCCCAAAAACATTTTGTAAATGTGCTGCACTGCTCTTGTTTATGTAGCAGCATTGAAAATCCCCTCATGCAGAAACAGTTGAGAAGCATCTTGGCTGGAACACACCAACTCAGACTGTTCAGCTCTCAGAGGAAGAGCTTTATGCCACACTACCCTGTGCTCACTGCATGTCTGTTTCTTATTTGCATTACATTTTGAAAGAATCTTCCGTTCAGCTGGGATAAAGTCACCCTGGTGTGTGGGAGTGATGGAAGAGCTGTACAGATGGATTTTTAGTCACAATCACTGAGGGTGCTGGTGTCCCTGGCACTCCTGGTTGGTCACTCACCACAGCCTGGTGATAACTGAGAGCTAGGGGAGTTCTGTACACCTTTCCTGGGGGAAAAAAGGGGCCATTACAGGTCTGTGCTGGTAAAATGGATTTTGCCCTGTGTGTCATCAGACAGCATTTAATATCAGTCAGAGGACTGATGACCTCCAATTTATTAACTTTTTGATTGGTGTCTGAGAACACAGTAACTGGTTTCAATAGGCAAGTGTGAGACCCAGCAGTTCTGTCTCAGGCTGATTTTAGGGAAAAAGCCACTGGAATAAATCTGAGTGACAGTCAGGGGGTGAACATTTTTAGACTGAAGTAAATGCTTATGAATTTACAGCTAAGCACAGATATAAACTGGAAGTATATTTTTAATATTTGGGTGTGTTAATCACAAATGAACAACATAAGCCTCTGTAGCACTTGAAATAGAATATTGTACAGAAATTGGGAATTACATTTGGAAATAGGAAAAAGAAAACCCAGGGAAGTATTTCCTTCAGCATGTGAGATTGTTCGATTAAACACAATAGTTTTAAGTCCTAAAGGAGCTCCTTACAGTCCTTAAAAAATGAAAATTACTGAATTTGGGGAACAAGTAGTGAAGTATATGACCTTCAGAAGACTCGTCTTACTGCAAAGTTTGAGCATAAATGGTGGAATTTTTCACATTCCTATATTTAAACCATTCAGACTTGTCACCCTGAAGTCAGTGGCACAGTGTGTTGGTGTTGGGAGGGAAGGTCACCCGCCCTGAGGCAGCAGCTGAAGTGTCTGCAAAGTCAAGTGCTGTGGGAACACGGTGCAGATTCCTCACATCCAAGTGTGATTCTCTGCCTTGTAGGAAGGGGGAAATGTTCATGATTTCCTCACACAAACTCAGAGTATTTGTGCCTTGTAGATTTTGGCATGACGAGGGATATCTACGAGACAGATTATTACCGGAAAGGAGGGAAGGGTTTGCTGCCTGTGCGCTGGATGTCCCCGGAGTCGCTCAAAGATGGAGTCTTCACAACACACTCCGACGTCTGGTAACACAAAAGGGCTCTGAAAAACTGCTTTAACCTCCTCCTTCCTAGCCTCTCTTCTTGTTTTAGTAGACTTAACTAACTGTACTGCTTCTCCTGTCCATTCGGAGGTAACTCTCTTGTTCCACGAGTTCATGTTTCAGCAAGAACTCCTGAGGTTAAATTTTGCTCTCAGGGAGAGCAGAATTAAATGGATTTCCAAAACTGGAGGTGGCAGCATGTTTCCTGCTGTTAGTTGTGAAATCAGTTGTGCAGGGAAAAACATTACTTTCACCTGGAAGAGCAAGTTGTCATTTTTTAAATTGTCCTCCTTCAAGAAAAGCATTAAAAGTTGCCAAGAATATAGAAAGGTTCCTAGTGCTGACCTGCTTTTCCATCAAAACCTTCTGTGTAAATAGCATCACTTTCCCACAGATGGGTTGTGTACTTGCAGGCTTTTTTGGGGAGTTCTCCCTTGTGCATATCCCTATCCATTTGGAGCTTTGTTTGCTTGTTTTATATACTGCAAGATGGAGAAATAGGGTTTTCTTTCAAAGCACACTGCATGCTTGCTGTATCTGTGCAGTTATTAATAGAGGCGTGTACTCAGGAGAAGTAATCCCCTGGAACAATTCCCCACACACCCCCCAGCTTTTTGGAGATAGGTAGGGAGGACTTGGCAGAAGATGGTTGTGTACTGGCAAAACCTCTCCTCTGTCTTTTATGGTTTCTCTGCCTTCCTAACAAGATGTTTTTACTGCTGATCTGTTACAGAATTGGCAGCTGATTGCCTCCAAATGTCTAGAAGTCAGTAGGAATGGTGTTTTAGGAGTAAACTGCATTTTCCTTGAGCAGCTTGAGGAGCTTGGAGTCAGTGGTCTGTATTTCACAGCACCAGCTCTGAACAAAAAGTTCCTAAGAGGAATTAAAGTGAAAAAGCAAAGCACCAGAATGATGCTTAAATTTTGTTTTACATATGGCTAGTAACTTACTTTTGAATCCAGTAACCCTCAGACTTGGAAGCAGATGAAAGCAATCCCATTGAGTTGAAGGGAAGCCCTGTATCAACCATTTATCTGATGGAACAGTGCAGGCATGCTTTTGGCAGTTCCCCCCGTAAAAGAATTTTGGGACTTGTAATGGCTTCACAAAGCAGACAGAAATTTGGACTATATCACTAGAAAATCCCCAGATGCAGAACTGACCAAACCTGGAGTGAGGAGCTGGCAGAGCTGCCTGTTTTTACCACACAGCAGGAATTTTCAGGTCCAGCCATTGCCTCCAAAGGGTGAGCAGTGGGAATGTCCCATGTATGTTCCACATGTGTGTTCTTTAAGCCTGGGTCCCTTAAGTGATGTTATTCTTTAAACAGAACTCAAATTCCAAAGAGAAAACCCCTAGGTGTGACACCAAATGAGGTGTCAGATGTAAATAAGGTTTAGATTGAATTTTGGAAAGAATTTCTTCAGGGTGATGAGGCCCTGGCACAGGGTGCCCAGAGAAGCTGTGGCTGCTCCATTCCTGGAAGTGTCCAAGGCCAGCTTGGACAGGGCTTGGAGCAGCCTGGGACAGTGGCAGGTGTCCCTGCCCTTGGCAAGGGGTAGAACAAGATGAGCTTTAAGGTCCCTTCCAGCCCAAACCATCCTGGGGTTCCATGATTTGGCATTTGTTGGTTGCTCAGTCCAAAGCAGGATTGTGCAAACAGTATTGCAGTTCATCAGTGGGACAATCTGAATGAATACCCTGATCTGGAAAGTAGTTTACTGATGACAGGATTGGAAAGCTGAAGAGGAGGAGCAGTAAAATCTTGACAGATTTTTACTTGTAAGCATAGAGAGGAAAAAAATAGTTTTATTTATGGAGAGGAGGCTGACAGTACTCGTGAGTATTTCAGAGTTTCTCCTTGAGAGGGTTTGGCATCTTAATTGTTGGAAGTGATTTACTCTGAAATTTGGTTCACAGGGGTGTACTTGTCTGGAGGCACAAAAAAACGGGCTCAACATAAGAAATTTGCTGTTTGTTTAGAACATGTATCCACAGCTACAGAGAAATTTCAATCTAAATTCCAAATGTAGTGGAACTTGACTTAAGACTGTCACGAAATACTTTCTGTTTTCTTGATCTGCTTATGGCTAAAAGGATCATTCCTTCTCAGTGACTTTTACACCAGGCACTATACATTGGAGGTCTCTTCATGCCAGGAAAAATTCCCTGAATCCTTCTGTTGGTTCAGATTTGAAGTTGCTCTGTGTAAACTGTGGAGCTTGGCTGTTTTGGGGGCCATTTATTTGCATCAAATAGTAAACAAAAGGTTGAGATTGTTTTTCCTGCCTTTCTGGGCAGATATTGTGACATGTAGTTCCATGTTCTTCGAGATCAGTTTTAGAAGCCAAGATGTCAAAAAGACAAAACCCTGTTGAGTGGTTGGAGTCCAGGATTTATAAGCTGTAAGGTGAAATGGCAACTGCAGGAAGGAAGAGTGTCTGGAGGTTTGAAGGGTGGAGCTTTATTTTAGCAACTCATTATTTTATTGCTTTTCAGGCTGAAGAATGAGGTAATTAGACAGGGCTGTTTTTGTTGTAGTTAAGGAAGGAGGACATTTTAAAATTAATGTAATACTGTTCAGGGTGAGGGTGGATTTCTAGAAATAAATCCTCAGCATCTTGCATTCTTTCAGGGCTGGTAGTTGCCTGGAAGGAGCAACCTGAGTTTGTTAGGATAATCTGACGAGTAGGTGTGCAAGACTTGTCCTCGTTATCCCTGCAGTGATCAAAGAAGCTTCAAAGGCAACCAAATGTTGAGTTGACCCCCTGTCCCTCCCTCCCCTGAAAGGAAAACAATTGCAAGGCAGTTTGTGGCTTCTGGCTCCAGATGCAAACTAGTTTAGATCTCAGGGATAACTGAAAGATAAAACCACTGGGCCATAACCAGCTAATGACACTGGACTCTGTTTTCATAACACCCCCCCAGTGGAACTGTGTGTTTTTCACTCAGCTTGACTCAGCATTTTACCACACAAGTCAGACAGCATCGAGATTTTCCTTCTTTGCCCAGCAGCTCTAAAAGTAGGCGACTCTACAGTGCAGGGCAGACAATTTGAGCTGTGTCTGCTCAATAATCTAATTTTAAATTGAGATATTTTTAGAAAGTGCCAATACTTACGTCCAAACTACCCAATTACATAACTATGCTTATCTTCCTTTGCCAGTAATCGATTCCTATTATTAGACAAACTGCTTTTTTCACTTCTACTGTCCTTTGTAGTTATCTGGAAGGAGCTGGAAGCTCTGTTTCACAGACATAGTTGCATGCATGTCACAAAGGGGTAACTGAGTTTTTCTCACCTGGGCCCTTTTCTCACTAGAGCAGAGGTGTTGGAAGTCAGCAGTCCCTTGAGGGAGAGGTTGTGACTGTCACCACAGGCACGTGGTTTTTGAGCAGCTGGGGTTCTTTGGTAAAACAAAATACCCATGGACACCCAGCACTCAGCATGTTGTCAGAAATAGACCCTTGTGAAGATGGCTGGGAGCCCTAAAGGTGTGATTTCCCTGCAGGTCCTTCGGCGTGGTGCTGTGGGAGATCGCGACGCTGGCGGAGCAGCCGTACCAGGGCATGACCAACGAGCAGGTGCTGCGCTTCGTCATGGAAGGGGGGCTGCTGGAGAAGCCCGACAATTGTCCCGACATGCTGTAAGTGCCACCACTGCCCTGCAGGCACGGCTTGTGCCTCCTGACCCCCCTGCAGGCTCTGCTCTTCACAGCTACCACAGGAAGGGCTGTTAGAGAGTGGCAGGGGCTGCTCAAACAGTGTCTGTCAATCCAGTGTTTTATGGTAGTGAGACAGAAAACAGCTTTGCTTGTGGCCAGAATCTCACCTTGGGCTATTCTCCTCTAATAAGCAAACAAAAATCCAAGCTTTGTGTTACTGAATAAAATAAGGCTTAATAAAAATGTCACTTCGTAAGTGACATTTGCTACATCAGGGGGCTCTTTGCCTAAGTCATATCTCTTCTGCTTAAAGCAATTCTGTTGAGCATAAAGAGAGAAAAGAGCATGGGACAAGCTGAAATGCATGTAAACACTGGAATTCAACTTTTTAGTTCAGCAAGCAGATAAATCAGTGTATCTGAAGCTGGGTTGGATCTGCTGTTTCAGTCACAGCACTTGTCCCATTGAGATACACAAATCCCCTCCTGCTGACAGTTTCCTTCCCTGCAAGCACAGGATGAGGTTTTCCACAGAAAAACCTCTCCCTGCCCCAGGATCGACCCAAAGCCTCGAAGCAGCAGAGGGTATGCAGAGCAGCAGCTTCAGTTTTTAGTTTTACATTGCTGAAATACTTCTGCTGGCCTTTGTGTACAGCAGTTTCAGTTGTTCAGACTTTATTGCTTTGATATACTTCCCAAACTGACTTTTGGGAAGGAAATACTGCGTCTTGCAGTTATTGAAATTTGTTGGAGGCCCACAGAAGGGATACAATCACTTAAGGGCCTCAGCTGCTTGGGATTCTTAGGAAAATAGCTTTTTTGGCTGGAGCCTGGCTGTGGTTTCAGATGACAGGCAGTGTTGTTTTGTTGTTTGAGGGGGGTGGGTGGTATATGCAGGGGGAGGTGTAGCTGCCATGTGATTCCTTGGTTTCACATTCCTTCCCTTTCCGATGCTATGGAGAATTCCTGGCAGTTGGATTGACTGGACATTGTTTAACACAGAGCTGTGTAATGGGGAAGAACGGGAATGTGATGGGTTCAGCTCCGTGGGTTCACAGGAGAAAGCACCTCTGCAGTGAGAACAAACTCACTGGGGAGAGATCCAGCACTAGAAATTCCCTGCTAAGCTGGGGCGTGTGTGGAATGAGCAGGGCTGGGAGGGGAGTCAGGCCAGCAGCTCTCTGTTGCAGCCCACCCAGTTCTCCTTCCTCCCCCTCCTCAGGGAATCTTCTCTGCTCCAGGGCTGTTGCTACTGGATGAATCCACTTTCAAGGTCCTGGCTTGTGAGCTGGGAGAACTTGGTTAAAATCTGGCAGAGCAAATCTTTGCACCAGTGTGTAACAGCCAAGGCTTTCTTATGCTGCTCCTCCTGGAGAAGCTGTTCACACGTTGGTTCTGCCCAGCAGGATTCAGCCTGACAGTGCAGAGGTGCAGAATAAAAAATATCTGCCTTTGATTTGTGCTGCTTTGCTCTGTCAGAAAAAGGAATGAGGCTGAACTCAGACCTAAGGCACATCAGTGGTGATTTTTTGGTTTGCTTTTTTTTAGTGATAAAGTTGAGTATAAAACATCTTGGCTTTATCCCAAATGTAAAAAGAAAAAAAAAGTATGACCTTATTGTGACTTGCTTTTGCTCCCTTTCAGCTTGTTTTGTCTTTGTTTGAGTACAGACACCCAAATCTGCTGAAATTCAAATAGGCAGTTGTAGGAATAACAGTAGGGAACTCCAGGAGTAACCTTCACCTTTGCTCCCTGCAGATGCACTTGGCAATCAAAAAACCTCTTCTGTTCCTGTGTTGCTTTATTCTTTGCATGTTTTCACTTCTTTCTCTGTCTGGGATGCTGTGACAGTGCTGTGCCAGCCTCGGTGACCTCCCCACTGCTCCCAGTCCTCACCCACACACTGCTGGCAGGATCAGACCTGGTCTGTAGGCAGAGGTCCTCCTCTCCAGGTCCCAGTAACCTCCCTCTCAGCTGGGACCTACAGGAAAATGAGTACATGGGCAGAAGAGTGTTTCTAACAGTGTCAAAGAGCCCTGAAATTGCACATGGATCTTACCCTGCATCCCAGAACTTTCCAGGCCACTGCTTTCTCCAGTGCTTTATGAAGCCCTTTGTAAACCAAAGGATCCTCTTTTTTGTGGAGATTGCTAAAAGACTGTGTTCAAAGGCAGGTTTCTTGGCATGTCTGTGCTAGTGGGAGGTATTTCTTAGGTAGCAAAAATTCTTGCACTAGTCTGTGATACTTTAGTATTGACTCCTAATATTAACTCAGGATGCCCCAAAAGCAAAGCCTGGCTGCAGGGAGGTCACTTGGGCTTGGTGCTGCCTGGAAGCAGGTGAGAATGGGAGCTCTGTGCTCCTGTGTCTCACAAGGTGGTTACAAAAGTACAGGGACTTGATTCTTTAAATTAGTTTGGCTTGGAAGCAACTGAAATTCAGAACATCAGTGGACCTGTCTGTGAAGAGACGGGAGTGTGCTGACAGAGAGAAACCTCCAGAGCAGGTGGAGGAGGTAACTGCTGTGGGGAAGTGTGGATGAGAACAGAGAGAAGACTCTTGCTGTCACCAAATCTGCTATTTTTAGCTGTGCAGGTGATGTGCACGCTCCAGCCACGGAGCAAGAGCTCCCCTCAGGACCTCGTGTTCCCCTCCATGAATTGTGCGGGGTGCAGGCAGGCTGGGACACTCTGTGTCTCCATCCCTGCCGTGCTGGTTTGTGTCTGTCACTGCCTCTGCTCCCCTGACCTGGCAGCAGTGGGTCAGGAGCTTTTAGGTGGAGCTGGAGAGGTTCTCTTCTGCAGTGTGGCTGTGCAGGGTAAAGGATGCTTGGGCAAAGGGAAGTGGTGAATCCCTGCGAAAAGGGCAAAGCAAAGGAGAGGGTATTTCTGGAGGCTCTTTACTCTTGTACAGGGTGAAACGAGCCTCAGTTGTGTTTATGCTACACCCTCTTGGCATAGCTCGTGTGGCTGTGCAGACAGAACCATGCAATAAGACAGATGGTTCAGTACAACGGTGCCAGGAGAAGCTTTGCTGTTTTTCTCCTCTTCCTGTGCACTCAGTGATGTTTTTATGTCCTCCCATTGTTATGGCACTGCTCATCAGGTGACGGCTGCATGGCACCGAGCTTTGGTACAGCTGAAGCTCTCAGACAGTGTGTTCCCATGTGGCTTTTAAAAGTTGTGGAGGCTGGAATTCCACTCTGTTTTTGAAGCAGGATTGCTTCCCCCACATGCATTGTAGACTATTTACGCAGTGCTGATTTCCCTTTGTTCCTGCTTAGAATCCGGGGTCTGCTCTGCAGAGGCACTGGCAGCACACAGCACCAGCAGGGGAGGAGAGGTCCTTTTGCTTTTCCCCACCAAATCAAGTGCATTGCAAAGCCCAAATGGAATGCAGCTTCTATAGGAACTTTGAATTTTCTGTTTGTTTTTTTTATTGTCTTGGGGCAAAACAGAACTCAGTTTCTGCTCACTTCCTTGAGGAAAAGATGCACAGAGGGATGCTGGCTATTCCCCTAACCCATGGTGGTGCCTCCAGCTCCCTGGAGCTCACTTGCCACCAGTCAGGAACGTACTTTATAAATCTTCTCAGGTTGTATTAACAGCCTGTAAATTCCTCCATTGTCTATTGGAAAGGTTTTTATTTTGTTTAAGATAATGTAAACAAGGCCTGCGAACGCACACAGTTAAAAAGGAAAAAAAATCCTTTTATGGGAACTCTGTAGGGTTTTTAAATCTGGAATGGCTTAAAAGAAACATCACATGTCCTTGTTTGTGCTGATGTCACATGCATTACTCCGCTGCTTGTGGTATCTCCTTAGCATTGCCCTTAGGCCTCGGGGCACAGCGCCAGTGAATATCCAGAGTTCCTGGCTCCAGCCAAGCTTCTATTCAGGGACACAGCAGTCAGCTGGAAGGGAAACAGCAATGAAGTAACAGAAATGGATTTTATATATTTATGTCTCAAGCTTTCCTCCCCGTTTGTGGGTGAGGGTACGGTGCAGTTTTATAGTCTGGCTTTGCTTTTGCTCTGAAAGGCTTTTCAGAGGCTCAAAAACAAGCAGGAGCTGGGCACTGTTTACGTGTCTACGTGCGGTTACAATGCAGCATTGAGTACCCGGGGAGTTCTCCCAGCACAGACTGGTTTTGCCAGCTCTTGTTGGGTGTCACAAGGCCATTCTCAGGTGGCTGACGTTTGTTCAGGCGGAGCCGTGCCAGTGGAGCTCTGGCAGGGATATTGGGCACTTCAGATGCACTTCAGTGAAGATTGCTTTGGGTTTGGTTGAAGCACTCAGCAGTGTTTGCAGCCCAAACACAGCCAAACACTTGCCCTCTCTGCTGGTTCCTGTCAGCTGAGAACACAGTGGAGGTGCAACAGTATTTCCCAATTTCCTGAGTTTCTGGGCAGGGGCTTTATTTCAGGCCAAGGCTCCCGAATTCTCTCCAGACCCACCATGGGCTGCAGAGCCCAGGGTTCTCCAGCTCCATGTCAGTCCTGTTGGAAAGGTTATTCCAGAGGAGGGACATTACTCTACGATGAACTTAGGTCCTATACAAAAAAGAGAGTGAATTTTTTTTTTGTTTGCTTGGAGTTTTTTTTGTTTCTGTCTATTTAGTTAAAAAAGAAAATCTTTCCACAGTGATGCAGAGATCTGGTAAACTGAGGGCACAAGGCAGATAATGAAAAGATGAAATAGAATTGCTTGTTTGAGCTCGGAAAGTCTGTGGAAGTTGGAAATATGGTGGTGTTGTTCTCTAGAATTGAAGCTAAAAGTTTAGGTGACATGGCTTAAGGGAAGGCTGGAAGAGGTGGGAAATAAACCCCAGCAAGCCAAGGGGGTCTGGCTGGGGCTGCAGGTCCCAGTGCTGGCAGGTGAGTCAGAGACTGTGCATTACCTTAACTGAGAGATCTTTCTTGGCTCTATTTTATTTTTAGTTCCATTCTTACTCTAGCACAGAGTAGTAGTTTTGGCCAGCAGTGACTTCCTCCACACAGCGTGTTCCTCTGAGCACTGTGTACACAGAGGATTGGCTTGAAGAATTAATGCTAATCTTCCTTTTCTTATTTAAATTTGTCCTATTACTGTGCTGTGTTAACAGAAGACATCCCTATTCCACCTTCACAGACGGTGAAATCCTTTCTTGTGTTATGTTTAAAGCTCAGGGCGATCTCCTGGGAATATCCAATTTTGCTGTGTCATGAAAATGCTGTTTTCATTATGTCTGTATTACTGTTTCATTTTGTGGTTTTGTTTTGCCAGCATGGGACATTGTACAGATCTAATCATGGATGTGCTTAAACAGATGATCTCACACTCTGTAAAATATTAATGCATCCCTGGCTGTAAATGAAAACAACCTAATTTTAAAATAAAAAGATTAGAGAATGTCTTTGAGATTGGCAAAGGTCTGCTGGGGATTACAATTAATTTTAATGTAATTTTCTTCTTTCAGGGGAAAAAGGCAGTGCTTTACCTTGTGTGTATTTCCTATTCTAATTTTTTTCCAAGTTGGTATTGATGGGGTGGGATGAGTTGTTTGAAAAAGATACTCCAGGAGGTGCAATCACGTAGCTTATGGCTGAGTAAGCACAGGGTAATTTACAGGAAAAAGAGAAATACCAAGTCAGAGTAAAAGTATGAAGTGGTTCTGGATGTCAGGTACCCGTGAGACACGAGGTGTGGGCAGGTGTGTGGGAGGGAGCAGAAAAGGTGAGGTTGGAGGTATGGGAGCAAATGGGTGATGGGAAGGAAGGTGGAAATGTGACAGCATATTGTGAGGTGGAGAGGACCCAGCAGGATCATCAAGTCCAACTCTTAAGTGAATGGTTAGTTATGGGTACTGAACCCACAGCCCTGGGGATCTCAGCCTGTGAAAGTTCTGTCACTTTGGCTTCCCTCGGAATGGAATGATTCTCTAAAACAAATGGTCTGGCCTAGTCATGGCTCTGAAGCACCTCAGTAAACGTTTCTCTGTGTGTTCCCTGCCCAGGTTCGAACTGATGCGCATGTGCTGGCAGTACAACCCGAAGATGAGACCCTCCTTCCTGGAGATCATCGGTAGCATCAAAGACGAGCTGGACCCAGCCTTCAAAGAGGTCTCCTTCTTCTACAGTGAAGAGAACAAGCCTCCGGACACAGAGGAGCTTGACCTGGAGACTGAAAACATGGAGAGCATTCCTTTAGACCCCTCCTCCACCCTGCAACCCACTGACAAGCACTCAGGACACAAGGCTGAGAATGGCCCTGGCGTGGTGGTGCTGCGGGCCAGCTTCGAGGAGCGCCAGCCGTACGCGCACATGAACGGGGGCCGCAAGAACGAGAGGGCCCTGCCGCTGCCCCAGTCCTCGGCCTGCTGATCTCGGAGCCAGAGCCTCGCAGAAACAAAACACAAACACAGGCATTGGGGGAAGAAAGAAAGAAAATCACAATATATTCAAAAGCCTACTGTACCTCAGTGGATCTTCAGAACTGCCATAGCTGCACTTGGGAGAACCCTTTTTTCAGTAAACAAGTTGCCGTCTTTTTCTTTTTTTTTTCAATATGCAAGCAGATGTTTGTTTCAGTCAAGGACTCCAGTCATGGGGCACACAGTTGGCCTTTTAAAACTCTTAATGTTAACACTTAATAGCAACAGAAAACTTGAGATCTGATGTCTCTCTCTCCTCTCTCCTCTCTCTTCTTTCTCTTTCTTTCTGTCTCTCTTTTTGCTTCATAATGGGAAACATATCTGCGTGCAAGTTCAACCGTACAGCACTTTTATCAGATCAAAGATATTGCAGGCCAGGTGGTTCCCGGTACCCCTGCAAGCACCTGCCTAACACTGTAGGTCTTTATAAAAAAAAACATAAACAAACAAAAAAAAACACAAACAAAAAAAACCACACACAAAAAACCCTAAACTAAAAAAGACTGGATTTTTAATGTTGCTCTTTAATCTTTTTAGGAACATGTAAAAGAATAAAAAAGGGCCATCATTCGTCCAAGGCTGTTACCATTTTCAACGCTGCCAAATTTTGCCAAAAAAAAAAAAAAAAAAAAAAGAACTCTTTGTTTTTTGTTTTTTCTTTTTTTTTTGTTTGTTTGTTTGTTTTGTTGGTTTTTTTCTTGTAGTCATGGAAGGAGCACAGTAATCAACTGCTCTGTTCAAAACAGATCCTGACCAATATGTTCTATTCAGTCATGCACTGGTATTTAAAAAAAAATTTAAAAATGTCAAATTGTCTAGATCTTTTTTTTTTTTTAAAACTGGACAAAATGTGATTTTTTCTTTTTTTTCTTGTGATGGAGAAGATAAAAGGGATGGGGTAAAGAACCAGCCCTCCCTCCACCCCTGTCCCCATCCCAGTGAATTCTGGACAAAACTGGCAGTGGTGAGCTAAACAAACACGTGCATTTCGTACAAAAAAAGTCCAACCGCCTGCCAAAAATGAGTTACGAAAAACCTGAAAATAAGCGGCCGAGATCTCCATCGTTGCAGCCTGCCTTCCTTCACAGGCTTGCAAGGAAAAAACACCTAGAAACATAAATTGGAGAAGACAAAAAAAAGCAGTAACCGGATTCAAGTATATGATGCTTTGTTGACCTTTTCTCTTTATTATTAAGACTTCTCGAAGGGTCTTGCAGTTCTATGTTAGACCATGGATCATTTGCATACACATTGTCTTTTGTGTCACTTTTATAACTTTCTTACGGTTCAGATACTCATCTATATGTCTGTACAGAAAAAAGCTGCTATTTTTTTTGTTCTTTATCTTTGTGGATTTAATCTATGAAAACCTTCAGGTCTGCCCTCCTTCCCTTCCCTTCCACTTCAACAAATTTTCTTATGCTTTGTACTATAGTGTGTAACTTTTACTTCCTCCCTCCCAGTAACTGATACCTTTCATATGATTTGCCATGAACTGTTTAATGCCTTTTTATAAATACATTTCCTCCTTTTTTTTTTTTTAATTTTTTTAAATTTTTTTTTCCTTCCCATTAGTTGTTTTACAACATCTTGGCTGTGTGGGCTACAGGGCTTTGGAGGGGGACAAGGAGAAAGAAGGGACACCCTGCACGGGAACACTCTGGCAGTGCTGTGGTGTGGTGTTTTTAAGCCCCAGTTTTCTTTCCTTCCCACTCACCTCTGCCCAGACAGCACTCGAGTCTCTTACAGTGCAAGGCGTGGTACAAACTCAGGTCAGAAACAAAAGGTTAACTATTTAGAGTACATTCTTGTTCAGTGTTTATATTCATTGTTGTACAAGGGTCTTGCCCCTCCTGCCCTCCCCGCTTGTTCTGGTCGTGGCACACATCCACCTGCCCATCCCCACACAGACACACACACACACACACACAAGTATTCTTTTTAAATTATTAGTTGGGTACAACAGCAGACACCAGGCTTTTGGGTCACCGATCCTTAAAAAGATTCTTTTAACCCTTCCACCCTGTGAACAAGTGCCAGGTGCAGCTGGCGATGCCAGGCATTCCTAGGGTGGCCATTGCTCACCTGGCTCCAGCCAGCCCCAGCTCTTCCCCTTGCTGATGGGGAAGCCTTTGTGGGGCTGCACTTCCCACCCCCATCCAAAGGGAAGCCCCGGCGCCGTTCCCGTGGGGCTGGGGGGAGCTCGGGGCCGGCGGCTTGGCTGGCAAACAGTGAAGTGTTGGCAGCTATGGAAACCTGTACAAGTCCAAGCTTGTGGCTTAAATCACAGACCAAACCTCAGAACAAAAGAAGACGAGCGAGCTTGTTTGTTCAGTTGCAGAAGCCTTGGTGAGAGGGGAAGGAGGGGCTGTCAGGAAGTCGACACCCAAGGAGTGGTACCAGTTGCTCATCTTACCTTAGTTCCAGTCTAGGCCTTTGTTTAGCACTGATCCAACCAAACGATGGCAGGAAGAGGTGGTTCTGGGATGGAAATGTTCAAAGCTTTTGAGTAAGAACAATGAGTTAAAATATACTGATTGCTAGTTTTGACTGGAGATTTTAAAAAGTTTGTAGTGCTTTTTGCTTGTGTAGTTTAGGTCCCATTATCTTCTCTTGCCTCTGTCCCATAGTTATTTTTCCCTTTTGAAAATGAAAAAGACAAAAAAGTTAATTAAGAAGGTATTCTATGTAGGATTTTTTATTTATTTTTGTGATATCAGTTTAAATCACTGTAGAGATGCCCCATAATGAATTTAAATACTGAGATAAGGGTTTTAGAGTATGACAGGGGGACAGTTTTTGATTTTTTTTTCAAACATTTATCTACCTCACTCTTATTTTTTTATATGTGTGTATATAAAAAAAATACATCTCACATTTCTCAGCAGCCAATAAATGCCGTTGATACTGGTAACCTCTCACTCCATATACCACATGCTCTAGGTTCTGGAGGGGAACAGTCACTGCCTGTCACAGAGAGTCACCTCAGAATATTTGCCTCAACTCCAAGGAGTTTCTCCGATTTTTAAAAAATTTGTTGTTGTGAGGAGAAGTCCAGGAGTTGTCTGACTTAGGGTTCTTTAAGGAAACAGAGGCTTTTTAATGTGCTGTCACAGCAGCCCTTGGGTCAGCAGCAAAATGCTGTGTGTTTGGATGAGTGGAAATGCAGCTGACCTGATGTGGCCAGGTCTCACTTCAATTGTGAGTATTTCCTGAAATCTGTTACAGAAATCAAATGTTTACAATGTTTGAAGGTCCAGAAGAAATACTAAAGGGAATGGTCTTTCTGTTTGTCCTGTAGAATGGACTAAGTCATTCCTGCCAGTTCTTGCTCAGATGTCACAAGCATCAAAAAGATATTTGGCTGAATCAGAACCCAAAATAAATTGGCTTATATGGGATGGCGTTGCTTTCCTGACCAAAACCTGTCACAGGCTGCTTGATGATAATATTACATCCAATTTACAGCTTTGGTCTTTGCTGCTTCTTTTTGATGAGAGCACTGATTTTTTTTTAATCTTTTTTTTCCCCAAACTAACATTGAATTGATTTCTTTTAACGTGCCAGTAAAATGTCAGTTCCTTTTTCTTCCCCTGTTTATATGCATTATAACTGTGGATTCTGATGGACCAGCCATCAAATTTTAACTGCCCTCTGACAGCGTGTAACTGGTTTACAAGCACACAGGACTAACACGAGCTTGCCATCATCTTGCTGTATAATGTTTCCTTTTTACCAGCTCTGGCAGCTGTTCGTGCAGGTGTTGGTTGTGGTATCTCAGTAATGTGGTGCTTGGCTACTTGGAGTTGTACCCGGCCTCTTGGATACACAGTGCTGTGGTTAATTACTGCCGTTTGTCTTTGGAGGGAGCGTTTCTCCGTAGTCCTGAGAAACCAGCAAAATTGGAAGTTTTCACTTGATTGGTTTGGTTTTCCATGTTTGATGATGTTCTAGTGACCTTTGGGTGCAGTGGCTGTTCCTCTCCCTTGCACATATTGATTACCACAACTGGAGATCCTCAGATCTTTCAGCTGGCTAGGAGGGTTTTGTTAAAACTGTCCAAGTTACTGGTTTGTAGAATTGTATGTAGGTGGTTTTACAATGCATTAGGAAGAAACACTAATGACATAGCATCACGAGAAGCATTTCAAAAAGCACTTCAGTAGAAGACAGCCACGAGGCCTCACGTCCGTGTGTGTGATGGCAGTCAGCTCTCCTGGACCAAACCACCTTCATGATACCATTGCATTCTGTGTTTGCAATTCAAGCTTAATTCCTTTTTTTGTTCTGTTTGTTTCCATAGCTTTTTTTGTTGTGTTTTGTGCATTTTGAATAGCTTTATTCACATGGGTTTTTCATGCAGACTTCCCTTGGACAGTAAATCGAGTTGTTTGTGCATGTGAACAACTGAGAATTAATGTTGGCTTGATAGAGTCATAATATGGTTTGTAATGTTGTTCTTCCCTGAGACCACTGGCTTGTCTGGTATGGAAAATTTATTTAGAACTTCAGCTATGTTTGAATAAAGTTAAAATAATCCAGTTTGTTTATAAATTAAACACAAAAGCCCACCCAGCCCTGAAAACCAGCATTTTGACGGATGGCACCAAGATGTTTGGATGCAGTGGGACAAGGAGCTGGCATCGCCGAGGGGAGCGGGCGGCTGCAGGCTGCCTGCAGGGCTGGGCTGTGGCTCTGTCCTGACTGGCATTGCAGGGTGCCCGTGGCAGAGGAGGTGGTTTGGTTGCAGGGAACACGACTGCTGTGCAAACACAGCCGTGCCTTTCAATCAGGTGCTCCTCGGGGGGATGATAAACCAGAGCACGATGCACGGTGTGGAGCCACCCTGAGTGATGCCCCTGCTCCTCTCAGCTGGTGCCGAGTGCTGTGTGGTTCCAGGTGCGGCCGCACTGATGCTGCTCTTGATCTCTTAAAACAAAGCAAAGAAAGCCCAGTTTGCCCAGGACGACTGGTGACCAGAGGGAACTGCTGCCAGGCCCTCTGGGAACTGTTGGGTACAATCAGAGTCTAAGTGAACAACACTCCTATTGTTGGTGTAACTCCATACATATATATCTATATATACATATATATATATCTGCATATGTATATCTATAATATAGATATATATCTATATTTAAACCCTTTTCATTCCATTAGTACAAGTAACACTTGTTTCCTGTTATTCTTATTTTGTTTGTCAATCGTGTATTCAGTCACTGGGCTGAACAACAGTGGAGGAAGGTGCAAGGGATCCACTCCTTACTAACCAGTGATAAAGCCAGATATTGCAACTTAACCCATGAGTAGATGTGCAGACAAGGATTGAAGAATGATGTGTAGGAACAACACGAGTGGCCAGGGGTGCTGAAGATACAGAACTCAAGTAGAGAGGAGGGCTTCAAGGGACACCTCTGTTCAGAACTGGTTGCTCAGGGGTGCTGAGCAGTCTCTGCCATGGAGCAGCTGGGTCAGTCAGCACGGAGGAGTTTGTGGGGAGACACCTGAAAACGAAGGACGCAGCAGTGGGGATACAGAGACACAGGGCTTGGCAGAAGTTTGAGGTAGTATCCTGAGCTTAATCTGCAGGACAGCATCCGTGCTGAGGTGTCACAGTTGTGATTGCTGGTACTTGTAACTGAACCTCTGGACGTTGCAGCTGGAGCAGTAAATTCCTTGCCAGGAGCGTGACAGTGGTTGGTCATCGGCCTGTACGGATTGGTCTCGCCTACAGTCAGCCTGTTCTGCAAGTACCTTAGGACTTCACTAGTTTGTGTGTGTGCATATGCGTGTGTGCTCATATATATTTTTTTGGGTATGCGTTCTGTTGATTAGTAACCATTAATTAGCATTTTCAATAGGGCTTTAAGTCCAGTAGATTACGGGTAGTCAGTTGACGAAGATCTGGTTTACAAGAACTAATTAAATGTTTCATTGCGTTTTGTAAGTACATAGAATAATTTTATAAAATGTTTGTAGTTTATAAATGCCTAAAATATAATTTAAGGGCACTTTTCTGTGTCTGTGTGTGGGTGTGTCTGTCTGTGATCAGTTTTTCCATGGTACCAGTTACTAGTTAGCTTTACAATACGCCAAAAAGGAATCGCTGACTCGTCCAATTCATGGCTTGTCCCTCTCCCCCGTCCCGCCTAAGCTTTGTGACCCAGCATACAGCGAGTGAGTAAAGGAGGTGGGAAAATGTTCTGTATCTTCAGTATCCTGGTCTTCCAGAGCCCTCTGGTTGGGGTGGGATCATCTTACCTGGTCATTTCACTTTGCTGTCTAGGGCAGTTACCTTCATGGATGACAGGAACCTCACTGGTCAGGGAAACAGAGCGGGGTTTGCTTCTCCCCCGGCTCTCGGGGCTGCTCGGCACCTGCGCCACGGGGGCCTCGTGCTTGGAAGGATGAGACTGCGTAAGGGAAAGAGGGAAGGTGGTTTTGGGGAATTGAAGAACTCTCTGCAAATTTCTTACCACTTTAAATGCTTGCGTGCAGCCCCTAAAGCTGTTGAGCACCATTGGAAGGTTTGTTGAAATGAGCAAGGCAGGATCCCTATTTATTGTTATTTAAAAATCTTGAAGATCCAACCTCTCTGCTGTGGACAGGGACACCTTTCTCTTCTTCTGTTTTCTGAACCAGTGAGGTTTGAGATGAAAGGATTGGCCAGAGTTTGTCTACCTCTGGGACAAAAAACTAGAAAGTGCTAAGGAATGGATGCAGTTGCAAATACATTTTCCAATTTTTCTTGTTTAGATTTTTTTTAAGAGAAAATTAAACAATAAAGTGGCCAATTTATTACATAAAAAGACTTGCTGTGTATAAATTATTCCTAAAGAAATTCCTGTGTTTATATTAAAATGAATCAGTAGATAAAAAAAATTTCAAAATGTTTTTGTATATTCTGTTGTAAGAATTTATTCCTGTTATTGCGATATACTCGGGATTCTTTACATTATGAAAAGAAGAAACTTTGTCTATTTTGAATGGCTGAAGCTAAGGCTCCTTTAGTTTCTCTTACTCTGCTTTTTTCTAGTAGTTTCAGTACTACATGATTTAAGTTAAATAAAAGAATTCTGTATGCATTTGCTTGTTTCTGATTTTGTTGCTCCTTATGCAAAGCAAGTACAGGTTAGAAAAATCAGAGTAAAGCTGCTCTGGTTTTCCTCTGCCCTTTCTGGCTGCATCTAATTGAGCTACTCTTAATAGGAGTCAGTACTGCCATTGTTTGGTTGAAATCAAAAGCATTTTCATCCAGAGACACTGAGCTTTTGGATCCTTCATGGCTGAGATTTGAGCAATTTTGCACGAGGTGGTTCCTGTGAATAAGGTGAGCATTGTTATTTATTTACCTGCAGAGCAATCCCCATGTGAGGCATTCGGCCAGCCAGCACCTGGCTTCCAGCTTTCTGTAACACTGGAAAAGGCAGTGGCAAGAAAGCAAGCATTGTCTTGGCATTTCCAGTTCCTCAGACTCTTGGCATCGACGTGTTGACTAAATCAAGGCTCAGTGGTGGCCCGAAGCCCCAGCAGCTCTGTGCTGTTACGTTTGACTCTTGTCCTTTTTACTGATGGTGCTTCAGGAACAGGCTTTTGTTTCCCTCAAGAAATCCCAGGTGTCCAGACTGAGTTGCTGCTGTGCTGTTCACTGGGTGATTTCATCTTGTCCTTGTGTCCTGGCAGTAGGATTTCAGAGGAGAGCATGGACATTCCCTGTGTGCTGAAGGGCAGTGCTGTGACCCTCTGTGGTACCCAGCACTTCTGTACGGAGCTGTTTGAGATGTGGAGGAGTCTGAGCCCATGTTTTACAGTTTGGGATCTCCTTTGGTGCCTGGTCTGTAGGTAACCTCACATGCCCTGACCCTCCCCACAGCACAGTGCTTCAGGATTGCCTCTCTTGGGACAGGTTTGCTGATGGATTTGCCTTTAGGCTGTGCTATGTGGAAGAACTATGGGGTTTTTCCCTTGGGACAGGCACTGAGATTTGGGGAAAGTGGTAGTTTTGGGTTGAAACTCAAGTTAACAAGAGTATTATAGATCCTGCTGGTTTCCAGTTTTCTCTGAAGTCACTCCGGGTCAGAGCCTGTTGCTGATGTGGAAAGCAGCATCTACAGCAGGTCAGTAAGACAGAATTGTAAAACTTCACAAACCAGAAGTCCCAAGTGTGTTCTGGTTTCTCCCATACCCACGTTTTTTGTGGGCTGAACTCTGGACTCAGACAGGGGCTGAGGGGGATTTCTTTTACATCCATCCCGTGCTGAATTCTTACAGCTGTGACCATCTATCCGGGGTCAGCAAATTTTTATTGATGGCTTTGTAACCAACAGAACCAGGATTAAACATCTAAAATATTTTCAATCCAGTTTCCATTTTCTGAAATCTGAACAACTTTATTGGTAGTAATATGAACCACCAATCATTTGTTTTTTTCCCCTCAAGCCTTTTGTAAGAGATGCAAACGGTTGGTTGGGTTTTGCAAGAAAAATTCACTGAAAATAACATGGGCTATAAGATCCTTTGTGTGGGGGTTTTCAATAATCTTTTGATCTGCTTCATTTAAGAGGTAAAGAATTGCATTCTAAGAAATGATCATTTTTTCCCTCTGTGATCCATCTCTCTTTGTTCCCCACACTGTTCTAACATTGCTAAGATAATGGTCTGTAATGCTTTTCCTAGAAATTCTGCTGTTACCGACTCAGATAATGGAGGGACGTGGATGAAAGCAGCTCTTCCATTGCCATAATACAGAGAAGTGTAGTAGGTGTAATCACAGATGTACCTGCAATATTAAGAGCAAAACAAAACCAAAAACCTGAATTAAGGCTCAGTAAACCTTGATTAAATTTAAATATTCTAAGTAGCCAAACCAGATCTGGTTTCTGAAATTATTAAGAACATATTTGCTTAGTGAATAAAGGAAATGCTGAAATAAACCAAGTTTGAGAAACAAATGTTGCTTATCTGATGGTTTGGTTTCTCAGACACCCACCCACAAAGAACTTTAAATAAAAAAAAAAATCACAAGACAGGCATTCTTGTGGGGTGGGAAAGGTAACACACCCTGCTGGAAATTACAACCATGTAACACAGTTTTTGGTTAAGTCATAAAATCTCCCTGTCTGAATGGATTCTTCTTATCATCTCACCTTTTAAAATTCAGGTGCAAATCTTGAATTTAAAGGCTAGTATTAGCTGATTTTATTTTAAAGAAATAAAAATTACTGTTTTGTTTTCCTTTCCAGTGAAGAATAACTAGCATAGTAGAAAATTGCTTCAGTGCTACTGGAACACATGATGAGATCACAGGCCTGGTTCTAACTGTACCTGTAATTGTTGTTCTCCACTGTATCTATTTACATTTTGTATCCCTCCCAGTTGAGAAAAATAGATTAAAATCTGCTACTAGTCAGTATTGCCTTCAGACTCTTAATAGCTGAGGTTTACTGGAGTTGCTCATCACAGGGTGTGCTATGTTGGAACTTGTTTCTTTTGGAATTTACAAATCTATGGAAAAATATCTACTGGCTGTAGTTTTTCATGAAGGCTGTTTTACATAAAATTTAAATTCATCCCGATTTCATACTTGTGCCCCTCTGAAGACTTTGCTTTGGGGTGATCTTGGTTGGAGGAGAGGTCATGGCAAAGATTCTCCAGGGTTAAATGAGCTGGTTGTTTCTGTGAGCCCCTGATGCATGATGTTTACCTTCCTGCATCTCTGGAAAGGATGATATCAATCCCTTCCACTGAGATGTTTTTCCAGAGAGTCTTCATATTAATTGTAGATTCAATCTTTTCTGGGCCATCTAGCACACAGCAGGCACCTTCTGGGTGAAAACCACAAGCATCCCTCTCGTGGTAGCCTTTGTTCTTCCCACACTGCTCCAGGATGATGAGTGCTGTGGCAGATGAAGCCAGCCCGACGTGAACTGTAAGCTGTTTTTTCCCACCAGAGTGAATAACAGGAAATTAAAAATGAGACCTGTTTTTTAAAAACATGTGATGCGAAATTGCCAAGCATTATATGAATTACTGGCTTCAAGATGGGGGGGAGCCTTGCTCATGTCTAAAGAAAACTTTGATAAGAGATTATAAATGAGTACCAAATTAGGCTGTAGTTTTTGTTGTGTCTAGTCAGGACTGCAGAGCTGCAGAACCTTTTTTGCAGTTTATGGTAGATATTTTCCTTCCCTTTGTTCAGCATCAGTTTGCTGTTTAACTGGCACAGGGTTAAACCAGCATGCTAATTAGTGTGTGCTCTGAATTTCAGCTTGGAGCCTTGATCACAGTTTCAATATTCACTTTCCAGAGTTGTTTGATGTTTTGCAATACTCTCTTGGAGGTTTTTTCATTGTATTCAGGGGAGGGGAGGAAATTGTGTAACTTCATCATTACCCACCAGTGGCTGAAGAGTTGTCCATATCTTGCAGACTCGCTCCTTTGCTTTTTGGTAAACCACTGGCAGCTGCATGATCTGGAGATCGATGTTTTCACCAAGGCCTCTCTTGGACAGCTCCTGTGTTTACAAAAAAGCCATCAAGGACTGAAGGAGCATTGGATTTCTGACTATGATAAAGAAACTGGGCTGATTCAACCGAGAAAACACCAGAAAGAGCAACACCTTAGCCCATGGTTCCTGAACATTGGTCTGCAATGAGATTTGTTTTGTGGTTGCTCCTTCTCTTTTAACTGGAAGAGACTAAAATGTGCTAACAGTTTCCTAATATCATGTCTGTCCGTGTGGAGCCATTGTTGTGTTTTCCAAGAAGATGCTCAGTCTCCAGTGGGTAGGAGGGGTTATTGCTTTGGGACTGGTCCCTGGGGAACCATGAGACAGCATCTCTCAGAAAAGCTCCACTCTTGAAAGCATCTAAAAAGGCTTTGCTGTAAATAAGAGCTGTTTCTCTGAAAGATCTGGTAGAAAAACTGCATTGCCAAGAGACAAAACCAAGGAGAATTCACCTTAAGCATGACTTTTTCACTCCAGGGGCATGACATCTGCTGGCTTGACCAGGTTCAGGTAAGCTGTGCTGAAGGTCACTGTCAACACGAGGAAGTCACATTTAGAATGAGTCTTAGAATGTTTCTCTAGTAGAAGGAGATGTCACTTCTCTGTCAATTATGTACAGTTAGATTTCCACACAGGACAAATTTTCCCAAAGAAATATTATGCCCAGAACTGAGTGAATGGAGTAAAGGCACCCTTCAAAGCAGCAGGTTGGTCAAGTGGTTGGAAGATGGTTTGGAGAAGAAATGTCACATGGTGATTTCAGCAGTGGAACAGGGCAAACAAACAGGGCATAGGCCTCAGCAGAAGGTAAGCAGCTGCACTGGCAGGATGCAGAAGGAATTCATCTGAGGTGGGAAGCTTTGTCCCAGAAAAGTAGAATGGTGACTGAAAATCCCTGTTCCATTTGAGTAAATCATTACCAAAGGATGGTACAGGTTAAGTTTTTAAGGGGGCACAGGCAAAAATGGAGGTGTCTGATTAGCCCAAGAGACCTGTAACTGTATTCAGTGTCATTGTCTTCTCAGGTTTTTGTTTCTCACTCAGGGTTCCCATGTGGATGAGCCCACAGTTTGGGAAATTTGCCCCTCAACACTTGCTTCCTATATAAACTGTTCCAATTTTCTTGTCAGCGGAAGCATTGATTAGCTGTGCTCAATAAACTATTTGACACAAGCAAGGAAACAATGCCTGCAGGGAAGTAAACACATTTGGAGAACAGTGCCAGCCTTTTTTCCTGTGGGCGCTGACAGTCTTTGAGAGCCCATTGCATCATCTCGCTGAAGAATGCTGTACTGTGCCTGAGCCTCCGCACAAGAAAACCCCAGCTGGTTCACAATCAGCATTTTCTTTTCCAAAGCATTTTTAATTTTTACATTTAATGAGATTCTTTCTTTTAAACTATAAGGCTTAGAGGACTTGACTACCCCTAACTTTGGTGCAGAACGTGGAGACCCAAAGCCAGCTGTAATGCTGTTCTCCTCTCGTGCTCTCCAGGTCAAGACATTCTGTTGTCACCAGCTGCCATGGCAGAAACACACAGAAATACTTTTGTGCAGGACCAAACCGAAGTTGGCCAATAGCTAATGGCTGAGAATTTGTGTTAAAGGAAATTGGTTCTCTATGTCCTAAGCAGCTTCAGCATGTTGTGAATAATGTGTATTACTGTGTTGTCTAACAATCCCAGCCATGGGCTTACACCCTGTTAGACCAGATGTTGTGTAAACATGGAGCAAAAATATAAAAAGGTTATTCCTTGTCTCAGCCTTAACCAGAACCAATTTTGCATTTAAGGTGGGAGACTGAAGATGGTTAGAGGAGGATAACTGCACCTGGTAACTAGAGCTCACACTGGTGAGTGAATTCAGTAAACAAGTGCCTGTCTTTTGTAGCTGAAACAGGAAATGAAATTTCAAAGGAGGAAAAAAGTTTTGGAGGACTGTTTTGTGGGAAAAGTAGTTAGAAAGAAAACATGAAGATTCTTTTCTGGGAAGTTCTTCTAGAAGGAAGAAATCCAGCATTATCAGCTGCTGACCTTGAGCTGTTGTGAGCTGTGGTCATAGTCCTGGTCCACTGATGTTCTGGCCCAGAGAGAAGGGATTTACACAGCACTATGCTCAGGTTGGTGCAGGAAACACTGTGTGTTGGAAAAGCTTGAACTTCTGGGAAACTCCAGAAAACATCACTGCTCAAAAAACCTAATTTTGTCTGAGTTCTCGCTGATTTGGGCTGTTGTTTGCTGGTTTCATGTGTTAATTTTGTGAACTGCTTGTGTTGGTACAGAAAGGAAAGCAGAAGGTTTCAGTTGCCCCAGCCAGACTGCAAGTACATTGCAAACCAAGGTGTTTTGTGTGGCAGGTTAGTGGGATTTTGTTTTGGTTTTGGTTAAGTTGTTGGGTTTTTTCCTAATCCTGTAGATAACCTTCTTAAAACTTCAGGGATTTAAGAAAGTTCCAAAACATAAATGAAGGCACTAAATAGCAATGTCTTAGTTTCACAGATGATGAAACTAAAGCAGAGAGGGAGAGAGACAGATTAAATGACAGATTTCCAAACACCACATGGTCAGTGGCAGGATGAAAAACTGCTCTGGGAGATCTGATCCTCATCTCCTGATAGCAGACAGAGTTCCCAGAAGCAGTTGGAAATGTGACCTGTTCTTTGCACTAACAGTTTAATTACTATGAATGTTGTCACTCAACTTACATTTGTGCCCTATTAACTGGAGACTTTGACCTTGATGGTGGAGTGCCCTGATAGGTCATTTTGCTGCCAAGCTGCAGACAGGACTTTCTGGAGGAGACATAGCAACAGGGTTGGATCAAGGGTTATTAGGTGGGACCATCAGTCTGTAGCATGAAATAAATAAACCAGGGGATCAGGGATTCTGAAGGTCCCATGTAGTGCTGCAGCACTAACACATCATGGTAACTCAGTGTGAACTCAGTTAGCAAATGCAGAGTAAATATCTGGTGGTGTTTTCCTTTAGTGAGAATGTCCTGCACTTCCAGAGTTAAAAGTGTTGCTGGCAGAGCTTTTGTGCCTATTTTAGGAGGGTATTTCAGGTGAATGAAGTTATGAGAACCATGAAAAACTTAGTGAGACAGGTTTCTAAAAGATAAGCTGTCTTTCTAGTGCTAGACAACCATGCTGGGCCAGGTGATGGTGTCTATACGAGCTCTGAAGCTTTTCTCCATTACCTTAAATTGACTGTGGTTTCAAGTCCATTTGATCCCCTTTCCCTGAACACTCAAGAGGCACCTGCTGAGCAACAACAACTCCATGGATGAAGAATGCAATGCTGATGAATGGCTTGTGTGAGAGTCTCTGTCATGAGAACGTGGGTCCATGCAAAAACGATGGGGTATTCCTCATGTTCTTGGAAAATTGTATCTTCATATTCTTAAAGAGGAAATTCAGGACAAATACTATTTTTAAACCAGTAGATATAGAGATTTGTAGAGTTTTACTCACATTTATCATTGGATTCCTGAGGACTTCAAGGGAAATTGGCTTATTCACCAAAAAGGCCGTAGTAATACATAGTTAATTTGTAAGAGAAATAATATTTTTCTGCATGCCCAATGAGAACATAGAAGGAGTGTAGCTATTGGAATGGGCTATGTGCTTATAGGATCAATCTCTGATCCTCCCTACAGCAAGAAGAGAGGTCAGGAGCACAGCTGACCCCATCAGCAGCATCTTGTGGAGGAGCTTAATGAAGCAGTTGTGAGTAAGAGCAAATATTGCTCACAGAAGGGCAGCCATAGTTCTTTGGCAAAGGATCCATTTCAAAAGCATGGAGAGTGAGGCTATGCTTTGGAATTAGGACACTGGGACTGTTAAATGTATATTTACAGGATTTCAGATGCTTTTGGTATGAGGACCCTTCTGGGATGTGAACTTTTAGACTGAGTGTATCAGCATTACATCATCACTGAAGGTGCCATGGTATCCAGGCTTTTGATAAACACCTACTTTATTTTGAAGTAATAATTAGGATGGTTCTGGGTAATGCTATAAGGGCATTAAGCCTTACCAGTCATATTTAGAAGGTCTGATCTGGCTGCTCAGTACGTTCTTGAGGATGAATTTGAGTGCACACTTGCGTGGTTCACAGCAAAGAGACTTGGCAGGAGGGTTTTATGTCACCCCAGTGATCCATGCAGGTGCCCCAAGCCAAGACAGGATTACTTCCAGATGTAAATACTAAATTTTGCTATCTTTAATATATGTGCATAAGCTTCCTGAAGATAATAGGGCTACTCCTATGAATGAGGCCAATGGAACAATACTAAGAGATTGCTATTTAGTGTGGAGAAGCCTATCGAAATTCAAAGTACTTCCAGATTTGCAGCAAATTTCTCTGAATTAACCACCTTTGCCAGGGAGTAGGAAACCAAAGCTGCATCCCCAGCCTGAATACAAATTAATTCCACATAGAGGGTGCCACATCAGAGGGAAATGGATTTGTTCTCCTCCATGCACAGGGACTGACATCTGTTTTGTTATGGAATGCTGTGGCCCTTGTTATGTAACTCCCTGGCATAGCCAGCTCATGGCATTGTTACAGAAAACTCATCCCATCGGTGCATTCTTGCTCGAGGCTGTTTTGCTTGCAGATAAAGAACATGCTCTATTTTCAGCCAGAAGAGGATGATCTTGCACCCAAAATTAGAACCAATAGGAATCAGGAAATAATGAGCAAGAACACTGTCAACTGACAAATATTTGTGGTTTAGGGCACATGTCAAGTTGGAGTTAAGATAATTTATGGGTCTCCTGTCATGATTGGGGTGTGGAAAGGTATCACAGTATTTTTGTTTCTTGTTAGCCTACAGGGATAACATCCCTCATGACTTGCAAGGGGCAATAGATTTATTTTACCAAACACCAAGCTGCACTCAGCATAATTCACCCAACAAAGCTAGAATAGAAAAGATGTATGTTTTGATGGAATTGCTATAGCTCTGGTCTTTGGAAAAACATACTGGCTCGTTGTTTTGCAACCATCTTGGCTTGAGTGCACTTCATTTTCAAAACAGATATTCAGTAGCTGTCACCAAAGTTTCTACAATGGTTATAGTCCTGTAGAGCCATCACCTTTATGTCATTATTAATACTTTCCTATAGCTGACTTTCTCATTTCAGTGTCTAAAAGAATTAAAAAATGTATGGACTTGTTTCAGTCTTCATAATAGAACACAGTCCCCTTGGTTTGTTTTACATGTCCTGCTTTCTATTTTACTAGTATTATCTCTCATTTCTTGCACATTTTGGACCAATGCTCCAATTTAATTTTAATACTTTGACTGTTCCCCCATTAGTTTCAGATTTCATTGTGTAACCTTCTGTCTACCTTGGGATTGCTAAAATCTTATGTGAAAGCCCTCTCACAATAACTCTGTTCTTAGTACCTTATGAGAGTAACTGAACTCTAGGAAAGGCTGTTGTCTGTGACAGGGAGAATGAATCAGTTGATGCTGAAAGCCAGGTATCCAAACCATGTCTTTGTATCCCCCAGCTACATTTGTTCTAATACACAGATTTGGGAAACAAGCAGGAATTTTCAAGACTGTGTCTGAGACTTGTTACTGCCAGTCAAGGTGTATGGAGGAAAAAAATACTCTCTGAATGACCTTGTTTTCAATTTAACTGTAGATTTCACTGTCATTTAAAAGTGGAAGCCAAAGCTGAAATGTGAACTAACAGTTTGAACTGGCACAGTTTAGGTTCTGTATTCCTGAAGCAGGCAGTGAGAACTCAATAGGCTACACTTGTGGGAGAAGGAAATCACCTCACACAGGATAAAATGAACTGTGGTAGGAGAGATGATCAGTTTGCTGAAGACAGACATAACCTGTGGCATGTGCAATAGTTATAGAGAAGGCACCATGAGTAAAAATAATTTTTTAAAAATAATTAATTTTGAAATGCTTAAATAGCACCAAAAATAATGCAAGTAAAATAATACTTCACTTCATTACCCTTTCTGTTCCATGTTGGGTGTCTGCTCCATGAGGCACAATTCTGTTTAATGGGTCATGAAAAGCCTAAAACCAGTTTGTGTTGGGATGTCTAAAAAATAAAATGCCTCCCTCCTTTTTTTTTTATGCCTACCTTCACTGCTTCCCAGCTAGAATTGACCAGGTATTGTCTGAAAGGACCAAAACCTGAAAAGAAAAAACGAAAGGTGGTTTTAACCTGTGCTTAATCTGTAATTGCAGATAAGTTGCTGATGTGTGCACACACATATTTGATCTTTATCTTCCTATTTTTGGTTATAGAGGTTGAGTTTTTTAGATAGGATTTAGCTTTTATAACACTTAAGGGAATACTATTTTCAATTTGTATATTCACTGATAAAATAACTAATCCTGCAATCTTCATTCATGTCAAGGCTTTCTTAAGAGAGAGCCTTAACTGGAGCTGGTTAAATTTAGTGGAACCAATAGGACAGATCATGTAAATGACGATTTTGGGAAAGGATCATCATCCATAGAAATACCACTAATAAAGCTATGGTGTTAAATACTCCCGGGTCACAGTTAATGTATCATTCTTATTGTTAAAGCTCATGAAGATGAAGACATGCATATTTAATGAAAATGTTTGAAAGAGTAAAAATTATTTAATTTGTGATTTATTTTAATTGCAAGTAATGAAAACTTACAGTTTTCTATCTGGGAAAATGTGCTTTTTTGTGATGCTAGGAAAAATGTCTTCACTTTTTCCCCAAGGAAAAGAGGAGAAAAGGGGAAAGAACATTTTGACTCCAAAGTATTACATTCAATTTTATGCATCTTTTTTTGTGAAAGGATTTTTTTTAATAAAAAGGGAAAATACCTAATTTTGAGCAGATGGGCATTTTGTCATTAAAAAAGTTTGATGGAAAACTCCCACTATCTTTATTAATCTCAATTAATGTTCTCAATCCGGAATGTTGCCAAGTCCTAGATATTGGGTGTCAGGAAAATGAGTTTGTGAAATGGTTTTAATGCTATAACTCTTAAATATTTAAAATCCTTAAATGGACAAGTAAATACTTGACAGCAGATGATTGCCATTTTGCACAGTGAAAGCTACTTGTATGTGGAGACAATTAAGCCTAAATGCAGACTTGTGACAGCTTAATTAGTGCTAGACTTTAAGCATTTCTCAATTTGTTAATATTTATTTCATAACTGCTCCATCTTTTCTCTTTAATGTTATGAAAAGCTTATATTTTTGACAATATTTTCTCCAGGCTTGAGTTTCTCCTATGGTGAGGGAACAAATGGTGCTCATTTCATGTTTCCAGGAAACATAAAACCCCATTAGTCCCACTCTGCTTTGAGAGCAAAATTCGGGTGGCACCTGCTCCATTTTGGAGCTTCAGTTGTACAAGTTTCTGTTCCTGCGTGTGCAGAACTGCAGAATTATAATAAAGTTATTAAGTAGCTCACAATAAAACACTTGTGTCAGTGGTGGCCCTAAGAAACTACTGCTTAAGATAAAATTGCTATGAAAAATGTCTGAATGTACAAGAGTTTTGCTGCAATACCTGCAGCCATGTGGAGAGGTAACTGGCTGAATGTTACTGGGCTCCATATAATAAACTGGGCTCCCTGCCAGCAGGTTTATATTCTGAGCAGGTGAAAATGTGACAGAGACATGCGATGATAATCTCTGTAGTAGATTAAAGATGCACATGTGTCTTAACTAGTCTAAAGCTTTTTGACCAAGGAGATTTCTGGACATAAATGGTGATCTAAAGGGAGGAAAAAACTAACAGGGTGCTAAGAGTGCTCCCAACAAGGGTATGTGCCATAAATATCATAGGAAAGAACCAGACTGTCAGCCTTTTAGGAGGGTAGCAAAAACCTCTTGCCCTCTCCTGCACTCCCAACTCATCTGTAGTTACGTCTGGAGCAAGCCAGACTAGTTCTGCCCATCTTGTAGCTATTAAAAAAAAAAAAAAGTTTAATTGAAAACAGCAAGATGCAAATCTCTTTGATGTAGCTTCACCCTCGCTCCTATATCCTCAGATGACCTGCAGTGGAAAATTATCCAGCAACTCACATGTCAAGATATGTGTAATGATTGCCCTTAGATGAGCCAGTGGCAACAAGAGGAACAGCGAGCAGCAGCATTCCTTAGGAGCTTTAACCTTTTAAAGCTCAGCACTCTCTGAGCTGGTGGTTCTGCCTCTGTGATGCTGCACTAGCTGGAGCCAGCAAGAGAAACTCCAAATTTGGTCCCTTGTGCTGCATGTTCAGGCATGTTCCTTTGGTATATTTAAATGGAATGGTTTAGTTTAGCAGTGATGAGGCAGCATCTCCTGTTTAAAACTCCCTTACCTTGCCATGAAACTGAGCCCCTGAAAGTTGCCATGTGCTGCTCTAATTCTGGACACTGACTGTATGACATTGTGATGCAACCTGGTTTTCTTGCTTCAGAGCTTCCTTTGGGTAAGCTTTATCTAATAGTAGCCTGCACTGCCTTGAGCTATGTGGTTTGGATCAGAGAGAATGTCAACAAAGATTAAAACATGGAGAGAATGAACAACAAACCAAACTGGATGGCACTAAAGAGGGCAGACTGCAGTCTGTTTCCTCTGACATGCATCTGATTTTTCTTAGGAAGGCACAGCAAGTTTTTTTCCATTTGGAAATGTTAGTATGACCATTTGCTACTCTTTTTCCTTCCAGGAAACTGTTTATGACAAAGATCAAGCATGCATGCATACCATCTTTGGCTCAAAGAATAAAATAAAAATCTCACCAGTCACCACGACAGTGTTGGAATTTGAATCCATGAAATCTATGCTCCAGAAGGTAGAATCTTCTTGTCTTTCACTTCCAAACAGTATTAAAATTCAGGTATCTATCTCTGGCAAACTTCATTTGGGGCACCTTTTTTCTTCCAACTGTGATGAGTCTGGCTTCATATGACAAGGATGATTTGTGACTCATGTAACTTTTAAAGCAAAAATTATTACGTCTCTATTAAAGATAGAAGTCTGACTGGCTGACTGGGACTGCCCCAAACTCTTTCCTTTCCCAGGCATGGAGTATTTAGAAGAAGAGGAAAAGCTTAAAGACATTTCTTTCAAAATATCTAGTGATATTTTTATCACTTGTCTATGTGCAAGTAAACAGAAAATTAATTGAATCAGTTTGATTATATCTCTGTGGGTATTCTGTTTTTAGCAGTTGTAATTCACTTTAATGGTGAGGAATGACAACTACAAAAACTTATCTGTCCATTTCCACTGTTCTTGGACTGTTTTTACTAACTTAAGCTCAGGGGTAACTTCACCGTTCCTCTTCACAGCACTTCTCTGATTTACTACTCTTGATCTTTATCATCAGCTTGTTATGAAAGAGTCCAAGCACTGTACACTTTTCAAACCAAACACCAACAAACCAACACCAACAGGAAAACGTGTGTATTTGCTAACCCAAAACATATCCTTTAACAGGCAGCACGTTAGAAAATCTCACTCCAACTTGCAAGGTCAGAGGAACTCTAGAAGCTGGGCTGTAGCTTGCTGAAACTGGTGAGTTTAATAGCTGGTCTGTCTTCATTAAAGTGGAGCCTGAGAGCCAATGGGGGGGGCCTGAAATCAAAACATATGCACATTGTCACTGCCCAAAACAAAAGCATATGCAAGTTCTCTAGGGAATTATAACTATGTGGGCAGAGGGTTTCACTGGGTCTTGTTTTGAGTAGGAAGTGTGTGTGTGTGTGTGTGTGAGAGAGAGAGAGAGAGAGAGAGAGAGGGAGGGGAGAAATAAGCTAAGAATAGAAAGCTACTATATTATCTCAAGAGAGCTGATAATTGTGAGACCTTAGGGGAAAAAAAGAAATATCTCTGAAGAAATCCCTTGGGTTGGGTGGTGGCTGAATGAGGTTTGGAGCTATGACCTGTGTCTGTCATTTAAATTGTCCTGTGCTGAGACACACACACACACACACAAAAAGTGTGGATTCTCTTTATTTAAAAGACTGATTCCATCATCCTTTTCTTCCCCTGACTAACACAACTTGCAGAATTAACTTTTGCTGGCTGCTGGGGCTGAAGGAGCTTCTAATACAGGAAACAGAGCTTTCTGTAGCTTTAAGTAAGATGAAATTTGCCACTGGCAACACTGAATTATTTTTAAAATCCTATAGACCTTCATATTCCTATGTCAATCAAGACTTTTATCCATTAATTTTTCTGCTTGACCAGCCATTAAAACACTTTTTGTGATTCTGAACAGGGCAATGATATACCAGTCTTCTCATAGTTATTTTTGATTTGTGCTGGTTTTTTTTCTTTAAAAAAATCTAAGTACAGGGTGGTTTGATGAACAAAGAATTTGTAAGGAATAAGGCAATATTTAAGGTCTATAGTTGCTTAATTAATTTCTAGAGTGAGAATTTCTATTTTCTTTGGGCTGTGAGAGCTGCTTTATATATATATGAAGGGTATTGCTTGAATGCTGTAAAATATTAGGTATTAGATATTCTTCCAGAGGGGAGATGTAAGTCTATTACTTCCATGCACCCTGAAACAACTGATATAATCTGTTTGGAATGTAGTATTAGTTTTTAAAGTTTTCACAGCTGGCAAAAGGGAGTAGAACAAAAAACAGAGTAGCAAAGATTAATTCACCAAGCTTTTGTGAAGAAGCTGATAGAATTTTGGAGGGGGGGAAGTATTGTCTTCAATAGTTAAGTTAGTCCCTTTTCCTAAGCAGATATTTGCTGAATTGGAAGTAAAGATTCTGAGGCTTTTCCGGTGTTGGTAAACACTTGTGCAAGTGTGGGAGGGATGCTAGTGGTTTAAATAAACCAGGAATTTGACAGAGACCACTGAAATTAATTTTTGCACTGATTTAATTGATTGCTCATGTTGCCAAGCTTTGTGTGCAGGGTAGGAAACTTAGAGGAATAATACAATTACTGCATCTGTGCCACACAGTTAAGAAAAGAATTGAAAAATTTGAATTAGGCCTTACTCAGAAATTATTCAGAAATGAAACCTTTTCTTTCCTCTAAGATTTCTTCAGCTGAAGTTGATGCAATTCTTGAAGTTTCTGTTAAAAGTATGATTGTAGCTTTAATATTAGCACTCCCATGTGTATCTGTGCCCAAAACAATGGATTTGAGGGTCACTGGATATTTGAGGTCTGTGCAAATTAATCTCCCCATCCATAATTAAGAATCCAAGCCCTTGCTATTTGAAGGCAAGTCACAGACACAGCTGACTCAGCTAAACACTGGTTGTTTTTCTTCTTGCTGCACACGGATGTGATTGGCATGGCACTCATCTTGAGGTAGAGAAGAAATGGAAGCAACTCAACTATGAAAATCCTGGTTATCACCTTGAATATTTTTCTGCACAGTTGTCTGATACTTTCAAAAATTGTTCGAAATGCTGAGTAAGAGAAAAAAGATGTTTTCTGCAAGTGCATTCTGACCACTCTGCAGAGCTGGCAGCACACTGTTTGAGTAGCTTTCTAGTAGATGGCAAGAACAGAATATGGCCCTTCATTTAGAAACAGCTCTTTAATTTTTATCTCTTTTATTATTACTTATATATATTTCTTTTATTTCTTGCTATTGGCAGGCACTGACCAGTGTTTTAAACTGTGAAGTGGAAGTGTTTAATATATTCCAATTTTTATCTCAGCTGTTCAAATCTTAATGAGAGGAGGGAGAAATCAAGCTGTTATGCTATTTAACACTAAACTATAATGGGACTTTAGAAATTTCAGGCTCTAACACTCCATATTTCTTTTCCATTCTAATAAAAATAAATGGTCCTCAGGAAGGACTGAAGCTGGTCTTTATGTAGATAAAAAGTAATGTCAAAAAAGAGGGAATACAAACCTTTCAGTGTAAAGCTCACTGTTCCCTGTGGAATGAGGCCTCTTCTACAACAAAATCCATAAAAATGGTAAATGGAAAAATATAATGGCAGTTTCACTCAGGGTTTTTTTGGCAGAGACACATTTCACTAGACCAGGTTGCTCCAAACCCCATCCAACCTTGCCCTAAACACTTCCAGGAATGGGGCAGCCACAAATTCTCTGGGAAAACTGTGCCAATGTCTGGTTTTGGATAGAATTTGTCATGCATTTTATGTTGTTTTTTATTTTAGTTCTTTGGCAATTGAATCCATTGGTATATACCTATTGCTCAGCACTGATGGAAAAAAAAGCCCCTGAATATGAGTTAAATGTAGCTAAGCTGCTTGGTGGCTGTTGCAGTATCAGTTCTGGTCTTCTTGCAGCATTATCAAAACTAATGGCTATGTATGGACAAGTTTTTAAATTTAATTTTTTGTTTATAATGGGGAGAAAGGAGTTAGCAACATGCAACCCATGATCAACAGGTTGCTTTTTTCAGGTGTCATTTACCAGCACAAAGAGACTTTGCAAGCAGGATACACACAATTTAATTAACTATTTATCAGCTAATATGCAAAATAGCTAGAACTAACATATTGTTGGGCTGAACAGTAACATGCTTACCACTGCTGATAAGAAAATGGATGAGTTCTAGCTGGCCAGGAAGTTTCTAATAGGCTGGGGAAAGTAGGTCTCTGACATTTATTGGTATGGGCTGATCCTCACCATTAGAGTTATCATCACATATTGTGGATGACTGTTTTTCTTTTATTTTTTTTTCTTCTTTTGTATCTTTTCTCTTGACTCTTTTACCAGCTAACCATTGTCATCCCAACAGTACTTGCATGGTTTCAGCTTTCTGTCTTTCCTGCTGCATCAAACTAGACCCTGGACCACAGCAGGGCCAAACCTCTGGTCTGTGGGTGACACAGAGCTGGAATGTGCAAAGCTTCAAGGGATCATGAGCATGTGCTGAAATCCACTGAGGGTCTCTAAGGTCTGGTGATGTGACACCTGCTCTTTGCAGTGTCAGTGTTGTGGGCTGAAATTGCTTTGTCCTTTACAGGAAAAAAGAAATTACAAATTTACTGAGTGTTTTAAAACATTTGAAAGGAGGAGCAATGCTAAGGAGTTTTTGGTTGCTGTGCTGACAGGCAATGGAGTCCCTAATGAGTTGGGTCTTCAGGTCACAGCAGCATATCTGGGTGCTCAAAGCGCAAAGGTGAGTTTATTTCTTTGCTAACATACAGTTATTTCCATGTACTTTAGACTTCTATGACTTTGATACTTTTATCTGTTATTTTAAATATAATTGAGTGACAGTACTATGGTGGTAGGAAGGCTGCCCTGTGTCACCTCCTGAATTCTACTTTTAATTTTGACAACTGTGTATTGGTTTTAGCTCCTGTACCTCAGTTTTAAGGTTTGTGGTAATGAATGGCAGGCATGCTGAGGTTTTCCAAAAGCCTCTTTCAGATTAACAGTGGTCACTGCAGAATGCTATCAAATTGTTACTTTTGTACTTACTTTCCCCTCCTAAACCTTTGCCTCACGCGTTAACACAAACTGACGCTAGGTTTATGGTTTGTCATTCTGTGCCATTTAAATCAATAATTTGGGATTTTTGTCGGAGTTTCATGAGTTCAGACGCAGCGTGGGCTGTGTCTCCATGGTGAGGGCGGAGGGCATTCGCCATTCCCCGAGCCCTCAGCCGGCCTGGCCAGCCTTTCCTCGCCCCTCCCGGCATGGCCCCCGCTGCTCCCTGCCGTCCTCTGTCCCCTCGGCCGCCATCCCGGCCCGGCACAGCCCCTCTGTTCCCCGTCCTTCCCCTCAGCCGCCATCCCGGCCCGGCACAGCCCCTCTGCTCCCCGCCTTTCCCCTCAGCCGCCATCCCGAGCCCGGCCCGCCCTCAGGG